TTTCTAACTGAGCTTATTCAAGAAAAAAAAATCCCTAAGTACATGCTTTTCATAGATGACATAATTCTTATGGCTGAATCAAAAGAAGAAATTAACTCTAGATTGGAGTTATGGAGAAGGACCATGGAGTCGAAAAGTTTTCACTTGAGCAAGAGCAAGACAAAATATATGCATTACAATTTTGAGGAGGCATGGCAATGGTGATTTGGAGATAAAGATGGGGGATCAAATCATTCCTCAAGTGTTAAAGTTCAAATATCTAGAACCTATTATACATGAGGATGGTGAAATTGATAGCGATGTTTCGCATATAAACAAGCCGGTTGGTTAAAGTGAAGGAGGCTATCGAAGTTATTTGCGATAAGAAGGTACCTAAAAAAACTTAAGGAAAAAATTTATCAGATTGCTATAAGACCAACTATATTGTATGGTAGTGAATATTAGGCGATAAAGGAAAAACAAAAACATAAAGTTGAGGTAGCAGAAGTGAAGATGTTGAGATGGATGTGTGATCATACGAAAAAAGGTAAGGTTTGAAATGAAATTATCAGAGCAAGAGTAGGTGTGGCGTCAATCAAAGAGAAAATGATTGAATATCACTTGAGATGGTTTGGATATGTACAGAGAAGGCCATTAGAGGCCCCGGTGAAAGGGAAGATCAGACAATTTTGAGTCTTATAAAAAGGCGCAAAGGAAGGTTGAGAAAAACGCTCAACGAAATCATTGAACGGACCTTCTAGTTAACAACATATCTAAGAACTTGGTTGTTGACAGAGCACATTAGCATCATGCGATTCATGTAGCCGACCTCACATGAGGCTTGTTGTTGTTGTTAGGAGAAACTATTTTCTCCCAACTTCACGTGAATACACAAGACTCACTTTTATTTATCAAAGACAACAATACTTTCACCTTAGAAGTTAAATTTGTTAGAATATTACAATCAAAGCTGTCTTCACATGACAATCAAAGCCGGAGAGAAAAACAAATTAATCGAGTTTCACAACCTTTACTTATCTGTATTCTTTTGCTGCAATATTGAAATAATAGTGAGGAGGCAGCTTAGATATTTCATATGCTGATTCTCTTGCAAACTACAACGAAACAAAAACAATGCTGTCAATGCTATGTTTTATATAAGTAGTATTTCCCAAAAATACGATAAGTTTCTTTGAACTCAAAACCATAGATGTCGAATTGTATGTCATCTTATTAGGCTGATATACTTGAGCACTCAAAGTTTGCAGTTCATGAGATCAACCTAGTGTAATGCTTTTAAACCTCGTTTTATTTAACTTTTTTTATTCTGATAATGCATATATTACAATCAGGAAGCAAAAATGCTGTCTACAATACTGCACCTATTGTAGCTAGCTCAGGATATTGCGCAGTAAAAAAAAAAAAAAAAAATCTGACCATGTGATGCTGCTGGTGGTTGTTGCATATAGTCACATTTAATGAACCACTTGCTATAGTTACCTTCTCTTCTATCACAATGTGAATAAGCTTTTTATCTATCACCAAAAAAAAAAAAAGAATAAGCTTTTTATCTGTGTCCATTGAAAAGGGTTTCTTACAACTCTACGGGATTTTATTTTCTGTCTACTGACTAGGGTTTCAAACTTGGTTTTCACTTGACGAGGATAAGATGCTTTTGTTTTTATAACTGAAGTGAATTATCTTTCCTTGAGAATCTCTATCGCAGACTTTTGATGCAGATCCACTACCCTGTGATATGCCCAGAAGATTCATCAACCTAGAATTTGAACTTGTGACATACAAAGAATCTGAAGCTCACTTTCGATGCACATATACAGGGGATCTGCATCTGTAGCTGTTATGCTCACGAATCAATGTCTGTTAAAGATCAAAAGGGAGGGGCATTAATTATTAATGTGATGTCGACTTCACAAGAAGAATTAATGTTGTATGAAAGTGAAAGCTGAACCGGAGAAGATCTCTCCAAGAGGGCTTAGCCAAGCAGAAAACAGTGGCTAGGAAAATTCAGATACGTACAATTCCAATGATAGTGATCTTGGTCTCTCACCCTTATTGTCTGGTTGCTAGCTCTCATAGAATGCTTATAAAATGCTTTGGATTCTTCTTATATATGTGCCTGTGGGGGTCATATTGAGTGCTTCCACTCCATAAGCTTACAAATTTGTGTCCCAGCTAAGGCAAAATTTTTAGGAAGGAAAATGACATTTTTACAGTGATAACTTTTGAAAGTGATGCAAGTCTTAGAAACTATAGAGCATTAGAGCTCATAATGTCCATTTTAAGTCACTGCATCGAGCATGCTTCAATTTTTGGTTTTCTTTATCCGAGAAAAGAACGAAAGTTTCATTGAAAATTCACGCATGGTGCTAGTAAACGAGGCACATCAAACTAGATTTTTGGGTACTAATGTCTTAATGCACATCACAGAGCATAAAAAGGTCCAGAGAGAGAGAGATATGATGTGGAAGTTAACATTTGTGTATTTTGACCAAATCGAACATAAAGACCTTCGAAAGTGATAAGGCACACTCTTCTGGGTAAAGCTATCTTCTAGAGCTAGCCTACAAATGATCAGTTTATACATGATTACTCTTTGTTTTCTGCACCTTGCTGCTAAACATATTTATATCCCTTAAATTAATTAGTCATAATATGTACTTTTTTTTTCTGGGAAAAAAACCAAAGTCAGACCGGGAAATACACTGAAATTTCTACATAAACTGGGGGAGTTACATTTGAGCGTTACCGAAAAAACCTGGAGTGATTTGGGCATACAGGAAAAAGTAGTTTCCTGAAGATGAAGAAAAATGAAAATTATTGCGATGAGGGAATGCCTTGTGTTAAGCAGGAAAAGAGAAAGTGGCAAGAAGAGTGGTTTCCAAAGGTGGAAATAACTGTCAAGAGCAAGAGTAGTATGAAAGAAGAACACAAGAGATTCAGGACAAATTCACAGACACACAAGAATCGTAATCAGTACGAATTCCCGTGACCATACAATCATAGTACGACTCCTCATATTATTCATTTACATCCATTTAGCTCCCAAGCTTCAGATTCGTCTTTTAGCACTGATCACTCTATGCATCCTTTTCATATTTCCTTAACCTTTGCTTACCCCCCAAGCTTTAGTGTCCAGCATTATTAATGTACTCTTTTGGTTCTAAACGTAAGACTTATTTTGCAGTATAAATCACATTACAAAATAAATCTTACATTTAAAATCAGGAGAGTGTCATACTATGTTCACTTAATGTAAATGTCCTCCTGACCAATATATATCTGTGTGTGGATGTACTTTGCCGTTCATTAAAATTCAGTTCAGTTGCAAGTCTTCCATTTTTCTTAGATATTAATTACTTCTACAAATTCATAAAGTTTGGACCAAGTCTATCTATAACTGGCAAAAACAGAATTAACTTCTTAAAATAAAGTAGCCTTGGGGTAGTTTCTCCAACAGTGTAGGATGTGTCAGGCAAGCGTACGTAAGACTTATCCTAAAAATTTAGTGGCAATGAAGCACACCCACATGCGTGGTGGTGAAACTTGTTTTCTTATTCACAATTATTTGAGGATAGCTAAATGACCATGACAGTGACCCCGTTTTTGCACCAAAAAACAGAGAGAATATGATGACTATAACTGACCACACGCATGAGTTTGCATGAATAAGAAAAACGCTGTGCTCAATTACCATTTACCATGTGTACGTGCTTGTGTGTTTTTTTAATCCTTCAACCAAAGCATCTAAACATTTATATATAGAGGGATATAAAGTAAAAAAGCACTCTAAAATACTGTTCTGTCTTCTACTACTGGGGGTCAAAGTTATTATTAGAAGTTTAGATTTGGGTTTCAGACGATTGTTACAAGTTGCTTACATATTATCTATGCATGCAGTTTAAGATTGCAGGTCAGGTTCCAGACAGAGCCGGATGCTCAGGGGCTACGACCCATTGAAGCTCCTTTCAAAGGGTACATATTGATATAGTTCTCAAAATTTGTGTATTAGGCAACTGGACCGACCTTTCATATGTTTCTTTGTTTTCTTCTTCTTCACTATCTAATTTTCTCTGCAAATTCTCACCCGAATTAACCATGCTCTTTCTTATATCTCAATGCTTGCACATATATATTTCTTCCTGTATAAAGTTTACATTTCCTTTTGCCAAACCAGATAAGCCCTCGGCTCAATTAGAGCTTTTAATTAATCCCATATTTAAGTTTTATCCCAAAATTTGGCCCAAGAATAACAAATTAGCTTACAGAGAAAAATACATCCCGCATTTGTTAAAGTGCGTCTCTGTGAAGGGGAAACATTGTAGTTTGACTGTTTGGGTTGACCAAAGTGGATTTGGGTGGGAGATGGGAAGCATCATCAGCCTATGGGTAACCACAGAGCTCAGCCCAAACAGGTTGACATGTGACGTCTAAAACCAACGTTTAGTTTTCGACCCAAAAATAGTTTTGGAGCTTGCCTTTATAGGCCCAGTAGACCCAATCAGCATTGGGCTCGGTTAAATTATTTTGACACAGTGCCTGTTTAGATTGGTGATAAATAAGTTGGATCTAGTAGAAGGGACTAGTCCCTCACAATGTGATAAACCAAAATTCAAATTCCTACAGGAAAAAGATGTCCACATTTAGTTTCCGACACTGCCTTGAATAAAACTGCCTCTAATAGGAGGATACTTATGCTTTAGAGAGAAAAAACAGATCGGTGATGAATAAATATAATTTCAAATGATCATTATTTTTATAAATAATGCTAGTATTAATTAAAGGTGATACTGATTCATCGTGCTTCACTAGTAAATCAAACAGGAATTAAGTTTCAAAATTGTGGTTAAAAAAATGTGGGGATAGAGTTGTTGATTGGTTCAAATTTCTATATTGTATATGACTTGTTAAAATTTTTATATTTTATATTGATAATGATAATTTTAATTTGCGTCTTAGAAAAGTAAAACTGACAAAACATAATTCTCCAACATATGTGTCGATTTCTCTGAAAAATCGAAGTTTGGATTCCAAATTCATCTTTATTCTTCAACTGGGAGGAGTGGTCTCCGCGGAATTACTCACTGGTTACAACCAAAATAACAAAAAATTAAAATAAAACAAAAGGCGACGATCAGGAGCGATTTTCCCATTTTGCCCCCGCTCCTAACCTTTATTTTCCAATGCATACCATAAAGCCCAAAGGCCGAAATGCACAAATCAAGCATGGCCAGTGCGGGCGCACCCCAGACATACATAACAAAAGAACCAGCTTCATTTTCCAATTGGAAAATGCTTCATTCAAACCAGAAGACCATCGTCGAATCAATCGTGCCTGCCATTGACGTTCTCATTGAGATGGAATCCTCCGCTCTCGAACGGCTTCCTCGTGAGAGAAAGGCGAACTCCTGCATCGTGATGGCTGCAGGAGGCATTGTACAAGAGGGAATTGTTAACGCACTGTACGTTACTATTCATGAACGCGGACGTCGGATGCGAAGATTTTGTTCTTCTGCTGTTTCTATTCTCCTTCCTTTTCCCATTACCTTCATCACTGCTCGAGCTCGCCGATTCTCCGCTCTCGCTTTTGGACTTCGAAACCCCGTTCTTGTAAAGATAATTGGGTGTGTCTCCGAATTCATGTTTCTTCTTTGATTGGATCAACTCCATGTATGCTCCTCTGTTTTCACCAGCAATAGTTATAACTTTCATCGGGGAATCCTCTGAACCCCAGGACTTTCTGTGATTGCCGTTCTGTTTCTCATTATGGTTCTTTCGGGTTTCCGCTGAATTGCCATTTCCCCACTGCTTAGGCTTTTCAATGCTGTTCTGAAGTATCACATTCTTGGACTCTGCTTCCTCTGGGATCTTAGGCTTAACCTCAGAGTTAGCTTTCAACTGCGCAGGCGGAAGAGTCAGAGGAGAAGGCCGTGGTGCGGTGGGTTTGGCCTTTGGTGACTGCATTAGAGTCTGAACCACCTGCTTCGTTGAGGGACTGGACCCTCGAGCCGTGGTCTCACTCTTGGCTGGGGAAGAAGCGGAATGAGGCGTGGTTGCTTTCTGGTTTGGAGAAGCAGAAGGCGGCGGCGTGGTGGGTTTGGCCTTCGGTGATTGCATTACATTCTGAACCACCTGCTTCGTGGAGGGAATGGTTCCACCCTTGGCTGGGGAAGAAGCAGAAAGTGGTGGGGATGTTTTCTGGGCTGGAGAAGGAGATGAAACTGAAGATACAGTTGAGACTGATCCATTCTGAAGAGGGGAATTTGGCAATGAAGAGGAGGACTGAACAGGAAGTTTCTGAGCTGGAGACGAAGGTACAGATCCTCTCTCCGCCGGAGCAGCAGATGGCGGCGGCGAAGAGTTGGTCCTATTAGTGGGCTGAACCAAAGAAGGACGAGGGTCTTGTGCAGGCGCAGGAGGAGGAGGAGGAACCACTGAGCGTAAAGAGGCTAAGCGAAACCACGGCCGGCCAGGGGCTTGGTTAGCCATAATGGAAATGGTAGTGATGACTCTTAAAAGAAACAAAAGAAGCGAATGCAAATAATGAGAGGGGACTTAATATGGGCAAAAGAGCTATGAGATAGGCGAGGCCATGAAGTGTTATTTATAGATTGAAACAAAAAGGGAATTGAGATTAGCGTATTAATTAGTCCATGAAAGAAAAAAGAAATACAGAGAGAGGAGAATGGGAAAAGCATCGGATTCAATTGGCACCTCCAGCTGACACAGCACAAGATTGGTATCAACTACGAAAGATCCACTGCCTTTTTGAGAATCAAATTTAGTTTAGGTAACTCTTCCTAAAATTTTACTGCTAACTCTGTCCTACCTAGCTTTCATTCTTTTTGCGGTACTATCTACTTCCTTCGTTTTACTTGTAAATGCAATCACCATACCAGCTCTGTACTCAGTATTAAAGCTGGAGTTTGGTCTAAAATTGTGCTGTGACATTGTCACTTGTTTTTTTTGCCTTAGATCAATATAACATGCATTTAATGCTGTTTACATTTGGTTGATATGATGAATGATGCACACATAGAATGACATTGCTTCTGTTCCCTGGAAAGAATGATATTGCTTCTGAAATCGAGTTTGATTCCCTCTGAGAAGTACCCGCAAGCCTTAGACTAATTCATCAAGGCCAGCCGGACATCTCAGTTCCTATATCTTCCTCGCAATCAGGTACGACTGTGCTTGCCAATTGTCAAAATTCAAGCGCACGCAGTAACAAAACCAGATTCCACCCAAATAAAAATGAAAAAGAATTCTGACTTGCTGTTTGGCTTGCTTCTGACTTTGCTTGCTGAGGTAGTTTTCCACTTACCTCGGGTTTGTGCGTGCGAGGTTGCTTCAGAGGGACTTTTTCCCTTTAAGTGCGCTACCTATCATGTTGTCACAGCCATAACGTATCCTATTTCAACGATGTACAAGAAAAGAAGCAACAACTAAAGCCAGTTTTTCTGATTTGGCCAGGATCCTATGCTCATTTTAGACAACCAACCTATGTTAAGCACTAAAGAGAATAACTTGAAAAGTTTTGTTGTAAATTGTAATCAATTTTTAATGTTAAACTTTTACTCTATGAAAGGCATCCATTTGATCATATGTGTGGACGGAGTTACATCAATGAAAATGATTTTAAGCCGTGAAAATGTAGTTTCGCTGACTCCATTGCTCCATGTCCTAAAAGCGTCTTTATTCTTTATTCTTTTTTCCCATTTTTTCTCCTTCTTCTTCTTCCCCTTATTATTTCTCCATTTCCAAAATACAAGGGTGATTTAAAAGTTTTCATTTCATCCTAAATATATGATCCAGTTCTGTCTAATCTATTATATTGTTTGTTTCTTTTAACCTGTAATACCCTTATTTATTGAAATATTTTTATCTCCACACATTAAATTTTAATCATTAAATAATAAGGTATATTAAAAAAAAGTGTTATAAATTCTCTACATGTTGATTATAGATAAAGAATTGGTTTGCGCTGGTTTTTTTAAGTATGGGTGGACTTGAATTGATGTAAGAGATCCCATGTCGAATAAAACTGAGCTATAACATGAAAAAAACTAATAAAATTTTGAGTTAAGATGTGTGGTCTTGGACAATGCTATTGTCAAATTTTGTTTTCTTGCCCATTCTCCATTTGGCTCACCATTCCCAACAAGTTGATTTGATGAAAGATGAGAACTAAATGAATCAAAAAAATAAGGGGGCTTGATGAGTGCTTTCTCCATCACCACATATTCTAAAACCAACAGAATGTGGCTGCTGTGTGTTGTAGAGAGACATGACATCCCTAGTATTCCTGAAACTTGAGACTCCTACCGTTGATTGGTGAGGATTCCCGATTTTCTATTAATGGTGCCTTCCGAATATGTACTCTCTTCCAATATTATTTCTCATTCATTCAACATTAGTGCTTCCTCATTCGCCTTTCCATTTCTACTCACTTTTTAAGTTTTGAACATACCAGTGGCCACCAAGTTTTCGCTTGATTTTGACCTTTTTTTCCCTCAAGATATTATACTTTATCTTATCTATAATATAACCATGAACCATAAATATGGACCATGCAGACTCTGACGTACACAAGGAATAAACCAACATGTGTGCATTGCAAAAGTCTCTGACTGAATAAAAATCATATTAAAATATCTTATTATAATCATTATCTGGATTATTGGGAAAAAATACTATGGAACTTAAGAGAGTATCATAATGAGTGTGTTTGGATTGGTATTGGCCAAAACTGACTTCTAGTCTAACTAATTTTTGTAACTGAAGTAAGAGTAAATATCAGTTAGTGTAATGCGATTTATGTTTGGATAGGTGCTTATAAAAATTCAGTTGGAAAAGTTAAAAGTTGTTTGGATGATTAAATAGAAAAGTGAGTTCAATTATAAAATTTTTTAGGAAAGCGTGAAACTGCAATTTGAAATAAAAAAGTCATATTTTCTTCCGTTGAATTTAACTGAAGTTGAAGGCTAAAAGTTGGTTGGGCTTTTAGCCCCATCCAAACAACCATTTGGTTCTAAGTAAGTCACAAACTACTGTTTCACGCTTCTCTATAGACTTTTACCGTTGTAAACTGCAATCCAAACATAGCCAATGTTTTTAAAAAAAAAAAAAAATCATACGTTGGCTCATAAATGAAGTAAAATATAATTTAAAATAATGAAAGAGAAGTTCAAGCTTCAAATGCATGTGGGAGGTCATTATTATTTTATTTGTAATTGTATTAAAAAAGATTATCCGTAAATAAATGAAGACATACTCTTGAAGACCCGGCATATTCTATGTTGATGGTTTGTAATTTTCATGATATTCCCCCCCCTTTTTTTTTTGGGTTCAACATGTTTAACGTTTATGATGATGAGTGGAATCTAGCCCCCCCCCCAACACACACATACACACACACATAAAAGAAAGCAGGGGAAAGCAAGCATATAGATTATCAATATACATCCGAATATATATCGAAATATTGAAATTAGTGGGCCGTATTCTACTATCAGTACTTTTAGCATAAAGTGCGTATTCTATGAATTTTTCCTTATAAAAAAAAAAGTCATATAGTGGATGAGTTATAAATAGTTTAGAATTATATTTAACATTGGAAATTCACTCTGCTGACATTACCATACAAAGACAAAGCCGGTGAAGGAAAAAGTTGGAGCCACCTGGTAAATGCAGATATTGGGTCAGTGAAACACCTCCACGTTCTCACATGAGAAGAAAATCAGCTACGGTTGACCTTTTTTGTTGGCCCATTATTTCACAGCAGCCCATAAAACCTTGCTTTAACTTCGCCCAATCTCTATTAGGCTCAGTCAGGTCCCATTCCATCAGAATGGGCCGCGATGTTTGTGAATGTCATGGAGCCGAACCATCAGCATGGCGGTGTGTGTGTAAATCCTAGATCAATTTATTTATTATTCAACCAAGGTTCGATCTTCACTGGGAGAGTTATCTACATTTAGTATATGACAGTGTCTTGAATAAGATTGCTTCCAATAGAAGGATACTTATGCTTTAGCTCAAAAAAAAATATTTATTATTCACCAACGGGGATTAGGTATAACAGAAATTACTAGTCTCTCACAACGTAGCAAACCAAGGTTCGAATCCTTGTTAAGAAAGGTGTCCACATTTAGTACCCGACAGTGTTTTGAATAGAATTACTTCTAATAGGAGAATACCTATGCTTTAGCCAAAAAAAATATTTATTATTCCACTGGCCAAAATTCTTATCATGTTACGGTGAGATTTCAAGAATTTGAGAGACTGATCTTACTCTGTTAGGCTAGCTTCATATTAATTAGGTGGTAAAAAGGAAAAGATTGACTTTCATTAGATTTAGAATGCCAGTCCATCCCTTCAGATTTTTTTTTTCAACGGTCATAAAGTCCATGATATTATCATACTACCTCTAGTCCTAAATATAAGATTTAGTTGATTAATTTGAGTAGATTAAGAAAGTTAGTTAAATTAGTTATTTATAATAAATAGATATTGTCTTTCCTAAAATATTCTTACTGATCAAGTATCTTGGCTAGAATTACTATTATTAGAAGGACTACTTTGAAAAAATACATAAATATAAGATACAAAGTGAAATTGAGTATTATATTTAAGATGAAAATAAAAATCAAATAAGATCTTATATTAATAACTGAAAGTAATATTAAAAATTACTTGGTGAAAACATATGGTCACATATACCTAAGAAGTGCCGAGGCAGCTGGGCTAATTAATGCTGAACACTTTCTTGAATCTTTTTTTTTTTTTTAAGACAATTTCTTGAATCTTATTTATGCATGATATTGCATCTTCATTCCTTTGAAAACTTATTTGGAGTTATTTAGAACTTGTTTATATATACTTATTTTAAGTGTTTATGAGCACTTTTATATGAGTGGAAGCAGAATTCCACTCACATATTTATTTTATATGTTATAAATTATAGTTAAAAAATTACTTATAAATTATTCTAAGTAAATTCCTAGTATTTATTCGGTTTTACATATAAACTTTCTTTCGTAGTATAAATTACACTACGAAATAGATTTTATATTTAAAACCGGAAAAATATAATTACTTTAATTAAGTTGGGGTGAAATTACTTTCACACCTAGTATTTCACAAATCATGATACTTCAAATGTTCCAATGAGCATTCTAGTCGCGACGATGGGTGCATGAGTTTCTTTATATGGATGAAGTGAAAAAGAGGGGGGGGGGGGATACGGAAGAGGTTGGCGCAATGAATCTGAAATGTGGATGAATTGGAAAGACTTGGGATTCTCTCAACCTATTATGCTGCAGATGCCAGCACTCGATGGGACAAGACATTGACGGTCAACTTGATTGACGTGGCGCTGAACAAGACTGAACTTCGCTCAAATAAACCTTAATTAGTATGGTCTCTTTTTTTTTTCGCAAGAAAATTTCATTTAACCCTCACCAAGCAATAAATATCAGTCAACTTCAAAAAAATTTTAAAATTTTACTACAATGATCAAAATTTTATAGATAAAAAAACAAAAATATCCTTGCTTGATATGTCATAAAAATGAAATCCTTTTTCATTATTAATGCTTAATACCATGAAAACTATAAAATAGCCGTGTTATTTATGAGTTGTAAATTGTATAACTAAAATTTAAGATATGTCCAAGATGTTTAGTGGTTATGTTTATTTATAAATATACAGGAGGAGATAGAATTAAAACAAACACACACACACACACAAAGTAGCTAAATCCCATAAGCACAAGGCAACTTGCATATGGCTGCATGCGTCAGCCAAAGTCTAAACATCCTACTAAGAAAGTAAAAAAATCTGTGTGTGCACAATGAAATTGAGATGGACGCATCGCACTAAAATTAGTGGAATATATTCATGGAAAAATTACACTCAGGTCCCACAGAGCACAATTAATATAAAAAAGGTCTCTCGAAATCGTGAAATGATTCTGAAGTCCCCAGGAACCTGTGTGTAATTAATTCTAATTGTGAAATTATGTAGTTACCCTTGTTAATTTGAACTTATTTACAACCTCAACAGTAACTGTTAACAACCCGAGAAGAGGTGGTTAACAACCTAAACAATGCCCCTGGCATTCCACAGAGTGAGTTGTCATGAGTACTGTCGAGGTTGTCAATCACGTCTTCTCGGGTTGTTAACAGCCACTGTTGAGATTGTAAACGAATTGTTGCAATAAAATTAGAACCTATTTACAACCTCAACAGTAGCTGTTAACAACCCGAAAAGAGGTGGTTAACAACCTCAACAACGCCCCTGGCATTCCACAGAGTGAGTTGTCATGAGTATTACCGAGGTTGTTAATCACGTCTTCTCGGGTTGTTAACAGCCACTGTTGAGATTGTAAACGAATTGCTGCAATAAAATTAACAGGGGTAAGTAGGTAATTTCACAATTAGAATTAATTACACACAGTTCCCTGGAGACTTCAGAATCATTTCGCGATTTCGAGGGACCTTTTTTATATTAATTGTGCTTTGTGGGACCTGAGTGTAATTTTCCCTATATTCATTTCATAATAAATACTAAAAAAAACCTCTGGAATACAGGAAAAAGCATAGAATTCGCATTAAACTTGGGATCAACCATGGAATTAATAATCCAGAAAATATTCATGTCATAATTGGGGTCTTTAATAAAGTGCCTTTTTCTGTGTACAGCCGAACGCTATCGTGTGGGAATTTATTCTCAGTGAAAAGAAAAATAAACATAACCAGAAATCAAAGTCTGTTAAGAAAATTGGAACCACACGTCATTATTCTGGAGTAATTAGTTTCATAATAAGAATAATTCATGAGAGAGAGCATGTCTTTGGACTATGGATCACACAATTAAAAGTTTAAAACAGCCACTTGTACATATTATTAAAAGTGAGGGAAGAAAGGATATCATAAAAAAGTGAGCTTAATATTTTGATATAAAGGCGACTCGTTTCTATACATGTAAGTGATCAGGGCCATGCGTTATATAATGAAAAGACAAATTAAAGCCAAACAGTGAAGAAAAATGCATCGATCATGATTTTCCTTTTTTCATGCAGAGATGATATAATGAAGAGATTAAAAACAAAGGCAAGATAATCCCAAGACGTCATAGCTGATGAAAAGAAGCTAAAGGATAACGGAAAGTGGAAAGTACGTGATGTGGGAAGAAGAAGATGATGGATGAAGGAGAGTAGAAAAGGGGAAATAAAGTTTAGAGAAAGTTTCCGAGCCAGTACGTGGATTATATTGCTCCTTCAGAAATACATGGAAACAGATCACTCTCAAAAAGCAAAGTTGGAAAGTCTCTCTCCCTTGTGTGCATGCCAGTCAAGAAGAAGTTATTGAGGTGAGGAATTGTGGAAGGCCACATGGTTCTAATTGTGGAGGAAGGATTAATTAGCAGCTAAGTTTGTATGAAAGTGATATATTGGACGTAAGAGAGAAAGCAACATGAAGAACGAAGAATATTCGGATATCTGTATAAGAGAACACAGGCAATATACTTTCCTAATTCTGCATGCGAAGGCTTTTGAAGCTCTTGCTCGGATATGTCAAGAAAGGTCTTAAGAATGACAACTTGATATTGTTCTACTGGCCTAAAAGAAATTGATCTGATATCCTTAGGTCCCATAAGACGACTTTTAGTTTTAGTGACTGTGAAGAGTTGTGGGGAAAAAAATTAAACAGCGGGAGATTATAAAGGATTAAATTAAAAGAACATAGCAGAAGATGGCACGCAAAATTTAACGTGAAAAAATTCTCAATGTAAGGGACAACAAATTCATAGACAACCAGCAAGAAATTTCACCATGAAAAAAAAAATACATATTTTACAATGATCATCCAATCCTCATATAGATGGAGAGATTATATATATATATATAGATATATAGAGCTTCTAAATAAAAGCAAAAATATTGAATTAGTTAATGATACCGCCTCCTAGAATATTAATTATAAATATGATGAGGATAAAATAGATTTTGAACCAAAATAATAAATAAATATAATCTTAATGGACTATAGAAAATTGAGCCATGCATAACTCATCCAACAAAAAAAAAGAAAGAAAATTGAGCCATAATCTCTGAAAACTTTTTATTTTTTGAAGCAACAATAGAAAAATATCACGCTGTTGCCCTTTTTTCCTAATACAATTATATATGTCTTTGATTATTTTTGCTCAAAAGAATTATGCATGTATTATTTTCTTAATGCCAGGATGCCCGAATAAGATTTTAACTGTCAAGGTATACCTCAATTCTGATTGGGCTTTAAATGTGTCACTAATAATTGCTCATCATTTTCAGAGTTTTAAATGTTTCAAACTTTAATTTGGCACTGTTAGAATTGAATGTAGGTGAGCAAAAGTTCTTGAGCGAGTTAGTATTAAAAGCGACGCGTCTTATTTAAAACATCAATCATATATAAAAATTATAAAATTCACTTGTATCATCGGTCGGAACAATTAATTCATTTTAGTCATCAGAAATTTTTAGTACATAAAATGGTTAAAAAATGGCAAAATAATAATAAAACAAATTATTATCCAATAATAAAGCTTGATATTTAAATTAGTAAAATCTATTAAAAATGTTTTATTTTTATCATGCTGAAAGGACTCTAAATTAGTAAATTGACTTGAGGTGATCTTCTACCAATTTTCCTACTTTGCCTCGCTAGTTATGATTTTTTAAATTGAAAAATTGCCATACGCATCAATTTTTATATCCTGTGCTGTGGATGATTGTAAATTAGTAAATTGCTTCTGCCCGCGCCTTTCTGGATTTTTTCTTCACTTTATTGGCAAACATTATTAAACTGTCACTTATCAAGAAAAGAAAAACAGAGAAAGAATAAAAAGAAGAGAAAAATTATTACTCTGTCATCTATGCTTATGCCCTGCCCGATGAAAACAATCGAAACATATTTTAATTAACATGTTTTTAATCTTTTAATGCGTAAATATTTTTCTATTTTTTCATTTTTGGCCAACTTTTTATTTTTTATTTTTTCATTCATTAAAATATTGCATTTTCAATGTTTTCCTACCTTTAGATTTTTTTTTATTAGGTCAAGTATAAAGATATGATACTCCGAATCTTAATTGCTATTAGACTTATCATGCGAAACACGCCCTTGTCAGTCTCGCGTGGAAGAGGTAGAAAATGAAGAATCCTGAATTTAGAAACTTATGTATATTTCAATTAATTCGTTAATAATGATCAGCCAAAAAATTAAAATCAAATCTTAAATTTAATAAAATTATAAACAAAATAGAAAATCTTGACGTTCACAATGTCCTTATTGAGGTATCTGATAGTAAAATTTAACTTTAATAAATAATTAATTGTGATTTTATGCGTTTCTGTTGTAATTTGTCAACTCCGTCCTTGAAATAACAATTTTTTTTTTTGTTATAAAGCTTTAGAACTCAAACAAACAATATGAAATTTCGCACATATATACTGCTCTTCAAATCGGAATCACTGACTTCTATTTTGCATTAAACCTCACTTCCTTCCCTCCCTCTCGTATTTCAATCCGACACAAATTCAAGCTCTCTCCCGTTTTTTCCCGGTCTGTCCTATCATTTCTTCGCCAATCACCAATTCATTGTCTCAATCTTCATCGGTTTTTCTTTTTCTCCGATTGCTCCCTCTAACCTCTCATGAATATTTTCCCTGATGAGAAAAAAAATCCACACCTTCAGCTCCAAAACTCAGGCCTTGCTGTGCTCTGTTTTGCAATTTATTGTCTAGCTTAGATTGTCACCATGATTCTCCCCAACCCATTTTTCCTGTTCATTCTTATCATGTTTTTGTTGTATATGACTCGTGTGGCTTTGTTTAAAACTGGTTTGATGTACACCGTAAAGAAATGTTGGAGAATCATTGAAGATAGTTTTTATGTTTACCAGTACTTCAGAGTCCCAGAACTATACGAAGACATGCTGGAGAATCCGCTTTACAGGAAGGTCTCTCTGTATCTGCATTCTTTGCCTTCCCTTGAAGATTCCGATTTTACCAACTTGATCACGGGGAAGAAGAACAATGATATCGTTCTCTGCCTTGGCCCAAAACAAACCGTCGAGGACACTTTTCTCGGAGCTCGAGTTTTTTGGCTCAATGAAGGAGACGAGAAGTCCGAGTCAAACCGTAACAGAGCGTTCATCCTGAAGATCAGGAAAGCTGACAAGCGCCGAATCCTCCGCCCTTATCTTCAGCACATCCACACCATCGCTGACGAAATCGAGCAACAGGGAAAACGTGGTTTGAGGCTGTTCATGATCACCGACCCTATTGGCGGCGGGAAAGGACGGTGGAGATCCGTCCCGTTCACGCATCCCTCAACTTTCGACACCATCACCATGGAATGCGACCTCAAAAACAAGGTGAAATCCGATCTCGAATCGTTCCTCAAGGCAAAGCAATACTACAACCGACTCGGCCGCGTCTGGAAACGGAGCTTTCTCCTGTACGGCCCCTCAGGCACCGGGAAATCGAGTTTTGTCGCCGCGATGGCCAATTTTCTCTGCTACGACGTGTACGATATGGATCTCTCGAAAGTCCCGAGCGATTCGCACCTGAAATCCATGCTGCTCCAGACGACTGCAAAATCAATCATCGTCGTCGAAGACCTCGATCGGTTTCTTGTCGAGAAATCCAAGGCCGTGAGCTTATCGGGGATTCTGAACTTCATGGATGGGATTCTGACTTCGTGCTGTGCCCAGGAGATGATCATGGTGTTCACGATGAACAACAAGGAGCACGTGGATCCAGATGTGCTCCGTCCGGGGCGGGTCGACGTCCACATCCGGTTTAGCCTGTGTGATTTCCCCGCGTTCAAGACGCTAGCAAGTAGCTATTTGGGGTTGAAGGACCACAAGCTATTCCCTCAAGTGGAGGAGATGTTCCAGAAGGGGGCGAGTCTGAGCGCGGCGGAAATCGGCGAGTTGATGATCGCGAATCGCAGCTCACCGAGTCGGGCGATAAAATCGGTCATCAGCGCCCTGCAAACGGATGGCGATGGGAGGGGGCGCGGCGGGAAGATCGGGCGACAGTTAGTGGACGTAATGGACGAGCCGGATGGAGTTCTGTGCGGAGATGGTTTCCATACGGTTAAGGATTTGCGAAAACTGTACGGTTTTTTTAGATCAAAGAACCACAAGAAATCTCAACCGTTGTTGCTAAGGCGATGATGGGCCGGGGCACAGTAGTGAACAGGCGTCAGTTAACAATAGGCTTAGAAGTATAAACTGGCATCAGTGTAATTGTGGAGGGGTTAGGAAGGCAAAGGCAAGGAAGCTGTTTTTTTTTTTTTGTTGATAATTAAATTACATTGTTGGTTGGATGTAAATTGATCCCTCATTAAATGTGTTATTAAAGCACTGTAGATCATGATTCATACTTCAGCTCAACAAGGAAAAAAAAAAAATCCATAATTCACACTTGAGCACATGCGTCAAATATTTGACTTCTTCAAATTGAGCTAAATCTGATCTTAGTGCTGTATATATTGGAAAGCCATGATTCGAATCTTCCCGTGTTAAACATGGCCACTTATATATGTATGTATATCAGCCTCTATATTCTGTCGTAGCCAAAACTCATGATATCGTTGTCAAAACTTGCAACTCAAGTGTAAAAGTAAACAGTAAAACGATGGAAATCAAAATTAAAAGACAAAATAAACTAGAATAGCTTTTTCCTTAACTGCCTGTTTGGGAGGGTTTAAAAAATCTCTTATGAATATGTTTCACGTAAAACAAAATCTTTTTACATACTTGTTTTATATTCTATAAATCACTATTAAAAAACTATTTATAAGCTGTTCCAAATATGCTCAGTATTGATTAGCAGGAAATAAAAAAAGGAAATAGATAGGATTTGACTCTCATTGTACCAGGCACATTTCTCTAAATATCTGTAAGAAAAATGAAATCTATGGTTAAATAAAATTTTCTCAAAATCAACTTAAAGATGTTTTAGTCCTATTTATAAAGCAAAGAGAATTTTTTTTTCTCATTTATAACTCACCTAAGTAATTTTAGTTTTTTTTAAAAATAATTTGAAGAAGGATTTTTCTTTTTGAGGCTTGGAGCGCATATGTTTTTGGCCTTTCCGAATAAGTACGCTTTTTAGGATTCCAAATTTAGTATTCTTCTTCTTACGAAAATGATGCCATTTACTATTTCAACCAACACCTTGTTGGTCAGCGTAGATAATTTTTTTCAAATGATGTATTTATTAAATAAGGATAAAATTAAAAAGTTATATTATTTTAATGAAGAGTTAATACAATTTAAAATTTTTATTAGTTTGTGTGAAACATGTTATAAATGCCTTATAAATATGACAAGATAAGTATTAAATTTGACAACTTTTTCAGAATTAATACTGTCCACTTGATTCAAACAATTCCCTATTGAATGGATTAAAGCATTGTTAGCAGATTACAATTGAAAATGCTCATTGTTTAAGAAGGAACTCAGCTCCTTCGGCCAGCCAAAAAGGAAGGAACTCATCTCAAGTCATCATTGACCTTTTCACCATCATCATATTTAAATAGACTAGTTGCATCGCAACAAAGGCAAGACCACGGTGCATAAAACGCTATTCTCACTTCATCCATTGAATGTTCCCAGGGATTATCTCTTACTACTTCTGTCCTATTTATTCATAAAACACTAATTCATATCTGAAGTTTTTTTTTTTTAAAAAAAATTGTTTTCCTCCCTTGCGGATAAACTGAATTGATGAAGCATCAAATAATAAGATAGTGTTTGTTCCATATTCACCCTCTTTTTACTTTTATTTCCAAGTGGTCCACTAGGCATCTTTCTGGTGGACAAAAAGAAAATTAAAATACTCCATAATTAATATGCATGCGAATTCAGAAGAGTAGTTTTTACTTTCTGGTATTTTATTGGCTCTGTCCTCTTTGTTCCCCACCGAACTGCATGATTATCATCGTTGGCATCGAATGGAGAGCATGACATGTCAAAATTTCAAGATTTAATTAAGATTGAACAGTGTGCTGTACAATGAGCAAAGGTCTCTTCAATCATTAATGCTGAACTAAATTTAACATTGCTGTGGCCTGTCATACTAAACATGTTTCTTAATTTTCTCTGGTAAAAAAAAACATGTTTCTTAATTTTTTTTTTTTTCAAATGTGAAGTTACAACAAGACGAGTGTGCAAATTTCAGGTAAGGAATTAAAAAAATTAAATTAAACATATTAAAAAAGTTAGTTAGACGGTTAAATTATTTAAACCTACTAACTTAATATTTCTACGATCTTATTTACAAGTCACTTTGAACGTGTTTTATACATATTAAGAAAAATCTCAGATTTTATTAATTTTTATTTAAAATTTAACAATTTTATAACTTTATCTCTATTTAATATACATTATGCTCAATAAAAATAAAATCAACACAATAATAAATGAAGGATCAAATTACATAATCATATGAAATTTTTTTATCCCTGTCTTATAAATAGGACCAAAAAAATTTCTTCACTCTCTGTTCTATGAATAGGACAAGAGGAGTATGCGTTTTTCTCCTGTAAAGTAAAAAAAATAAAAATACAATTATTACTATTATTTCATTCAATAAGCTTATTAAAAATTTCAAGAACAAAAAATATTCAACCATCACAATATTACACCATACATCTTATGAACCACAACAAAATTTTAGGGAACCCTTTGACAATAAAATTAAAAGCCGAGAGAGTATTAGATGATCCGATTAATATATTGAGTTTAACACCGTGCTGAAAGGGATCAATTTCGAAGTGGCCCATCAAAATAAATAACATCATATAAGCAGAGTGAATTGAATTATAAATAATTTTGTCATGGTAATTTTCATTTCAACGGAGCCTTTTTTTTTTTTTTTGGTATGGGTGATAATATGAGAGTGAATTGATTTGATTTTATATTAAAAGGAGCTACGAGGGCCTGACATGATTGAGACTCGGAATCCCTATTTCCTATGTGCAGCACTTCTGCACACGCTATTTATTTCGATTGCGAGAGAACACAATTATAGAGTGTGTTTGGCCTCACGGGAGGGTGAGAAAGAGGAGAGAAAATGAACTTTTCTTGTTTAGTTATAAATTTTGAAACAGAGGGGAATCAAAATCTTCCCCACCCTTATTTTGACTCCTCTCAAATTACAAGTTTTTGGAAGGAAGTCAAGTATATTGACTATTTTGCCCTTATGATTTATGTAATATTTCAATAATGTTCTTAGATTAAAAAAAAAAAAAAACCACCCGTTCCCTTTCATACTCATATGCTATTGGCCCGTCACAACCCTCACCCACAGCTCCTTTCCTCTGCATTTTGCTCAAATGTTTGGTTGTTTTTATATGTTCAATTAAAAAACTCCAATTGATCTGAAAAGATTTCTGAACGCTTTGTTTTTTCGGAAACGCGATGATGCTCAACAGTTTATAAAATTTCTAGGTCCTGGTCTTGGGTGGGTAATGAATCTGCTTCTTTTTAATAAATATATATTGGCATGGGAAGAGAAGCCATATTTGATTTATTTTTTAAGGAAGACAAGAACGAAATGAAAACCGTGGAGGTTTTAGAAATTTAAAAATATTTATATATCAGTTATTTATACACATCTAGACAATATTAATATATCACTGTACCAATACTTTAATACACATATTATTAACGTGGCCGAATAAATTTTTATTGAATTATGTAATTTGAATTAAGATGCAAATTAATTTATATAATATATACATATAAATATAAATTAATATGTAAGGGTAAAATAGTAAATTAATTATTATTATCCCTTTCTTCCCTTTCTTGAACCAAACAAAGATTATTAAATATTATTTCTTTCTCTTTTTTTTATCAAACCAAACAAGATAAGGTGAAAATCTCCCCCACTTTTTACTCCGTTCAAAGCAAACAAGCCCTTAACTTATCTAATTCTTTCATTAATAGAAATTTTTTGATGTAGTTAGTGATAGCTTTGGTTGTTCGCTCTTCAAGAATTTTTGTTTAGGTAGTTTATACCATCCATACATAATGTTTTGATCTAAGATTTCAATTCTTTTATGTTTCCGTAATAGCATATTGTTCCATGGAGCTAAGGTTCAAAATATGGGAGAAACAGGTGTTTCCACGACTCTACCACCCAATTAATTCTGTTTCACTTAATCCCTATTTTATGGCCACATATGTTTCTGCCTAAAGAATAGGAAACTCTTCTTTTGTTACATGAATCATATTTTCATTTCATCTGGGAAAAGCCATCTTTTTCTCAACAATGTCTTTGTCATTTGATCCAATAGCGTTCCATTAGATAGAAACAGATTTGATAAATACTGATAATCTCGGATAGAGTATCAGAACGGAAAATTCCATTAGACAATGAACTATTGGTTCTAAGCCATCTCTGGCGATAAATCAACAATTCAAAATGCTTTTCTAAGAAATAAATTCAGTCATCTGATATATATAATTAAAAAGAATAGTGTAAAGAGATGATCATATATTTTTTAAAAATAACTAATTTAAGTCTTTTTTTTTTTGAAAAAAATATGAATCGAAGGCAGGAAGCGGGTTGAGAGAGGATGATTGGATCGGAAGCGTACCGAGGGCGCGTGGTGGAAGAGAAAAATGAAAAATGATTGATTTTGGAGAAGCTGAGTTAGGCAACGAAAGCGGGCAAGAGCGGGCAGGATCAATAATAACGTGAATAATTTTGTCTACGAATGGAGATACACACTTTTGAATTAAGTTTTTTTTAAATGATTAACTACCTGTTTAGTGTAATTATGCGGTCCCCCCATTATGGGCCTTTTGTCCATCCAAACACAAGCATCATGATTTTTCCTGTCTTTCCCAGTCGCTGCAAACAGTAAGCCATTTTCCCCTGTCCATTCCAGACATTTAACTGCCCAATTACCACTTAGATCCTAACTGTAATTAAATCGTTTATAATATGTTTAATGCTTGTTTTCAAATTTACTTTTATTTAATTCTCATTAAAAAGAAAGAAAAAAAAAGAAAGAAAGAGAATACAAAAGTGACTTGTAAATATAAAGAGAAAATTTTAAGAATAAAATTAAACATGATTTATGGCCAAACAGAATAAAACAAATCCAAATGGAAGGAGCAAACTCATCACCCACGTGTTCCTCTTGGGGTCACGGAATATGCAGGCTTTAACAAGCTGCTGCCAGCTTCATATGCTTTTAGAATTCCATATATGCACGAAATTCCTACCTTATTCACATTTGTCACCGGATTCAATGAACAGTAATCTTATCATATACCACCTCATTCGATTCTAATTATAAGAACTTTTTTGTAGTATAAGTTAGAATACGATTGTATATGATATATATTTGACGTTGAGGTCAAAAGAATCTGGGTTTGCAACGGAGGAGAGAATTCTAGAGTTGGGTCGAGGGATGCTTGCAGCCCAAGTTGAGCGAGGAATTCTCCCAAGTGTGTCATCTTTAATTCCTCAACCCGCGTCAATCAAAAGGCCAGTATTTGCCCTGATCATGGATTCTGTACTTCTGAGTGTGGAAATTAAGATGATATGATTCGAATTTTATTTTATTTTTGGTCGATTTTTTTGGGTATGATTTGCTCATCTGAAGCATATGTACCTAAACCACGTACTTATATCAGTTAACAGGCTTGGTGTTTGAATTAGCAGAGAATTGATGAAACCTGGTACGTTCAGTTCGTGCTCTTCCACTTTCCAGAAAACAATTATTCGTCTCTGTGCATTCGGTGCCCTTGCTTATACCTTATTTCGGCCCAAACTGTTCTTCTCATTTCTACGATCTAAGAACTTCATGTCATCAGATAAAACTCAAAAGTCCCCGTAACAAAACAGATTCACAATTGGTTGCTTTCAAGCTTCGAAGTAACCTCGCATGGCATACCAGGCCTGCTGCCTCAAACTTCTCTTATTCGGACGAAGCTACAAACGCAGCGTAAATATTACTAAATCAAACCGAATGGAGTCGTTAAGAATCCGTTTTCTTTAGGGCCTTTTCAGCTTGATCAACAACGGAAAGGTTTCATTGCTGAGAGCCTGAGATTAATAAAAATGATCCGAAGGAAAAAAAAAAAATTCCGTTGCCGGGAATCGAACCCGGGTCTCTCGGGTGAGAGCCGAGTATCCTAACCAACTAGACTACAACGGATTGCTTGCAGGCTGCCTGATATAAATTAATGTACGGATAGAAACTCTCCGCTTTTGACGGCGATGATCTGATTTTCCTAACTTCTTGTTGACCAATCAAACTTCGATTTCGAGACGTAGTATTCGATGTAGTGAGACAATAGCATAAGAACTAATTATATATGATTATGAAGCTTCAATTAATTTTTTTTCTTTTCATTATTACTACTTTTAATTTTTTAAATTTGAAAGCCACCTATTCTAATTTGGTTGGATTTTTCTTTGTTGTGCAAATTAAAAGATTGAAATTAGCGGTCCTTAGTACTGCTCCGGATATTTTTCCCCAGAAAGGATATGGATATTCCACAACACCCAAATCCTCTATTGGTGCACTTCACTTTGGAAAAAATGAAGGAAATTCCATTGAACACGGTACTCACTGTTATCTGTATCCACGGGAAACAAAAGGAGCAAGATTGGACGCCCTGGAAATTTTTGACCATGCAATAGGATCTCACCAAGTGTCAACAACTCGGTTCAAAGCTTCCTCCGATGCCCACTCATTAGTCCTTTTTATGTGTGTCTCACTCCTGCTTGTTTCACACCCATATTTTAGCTATCCGGATATAATATAAGCTACTCCGTCCGTTCCTTATTATAAGAGACAAATAACCAAATTACATTAATTAAAAAAACAGTTAAAATTAGTTGAGGATAATTAATGTGTAAAAAGTATAATTTTTTTCCAACAATGCCCCCATTAATAAGGAGAGAGAGTATGAGAGAGAATTATTAAATTATTAAAAGAAAGAGAAGTGGGAGGAGGAGAGAGTATGAGTTGGAGACAAAATAAATAGGGGTAAAATAGGAAATCAATACAAAAAAATAGAGACAACTTTTAAGTGTCTCTTATATATGGAAACATGCCATAAGGATCAAATGTCTCTTATAATAAGGAACGGAGGGAGTAATAATCAAGGATCACAAATTTCCGTTTTCTTTTTTTGATGATTGATTAAACAAATTTTATAAACTTGTATATTAATTTTTTACCGAGTTTTCAATTTTAGTATGTACAAAGTGTGGCATTGATTAAATTTTTACATAAAAATATTATTAATTATTAATATTTTGAATTACGAGTGTAACCTGACAATCAAACTCTTCTAAACTCATTTTGCCCCCTTCCCATTCTGCTGAAAAGAGCTTGGCTTTTATATATATATATATATATATATATATATATTTTAATTAATCAATATATATTCCTGTGTATGTATTGAGGACATCTTTTTCCTTAAAATGCTGGACATATGGCAGTGAATTTTCTTTCGGGTAGTTTGTGACAATGGCTAACGTGAAATACGTGTGTTTTAGGATGATGACAGTTTTTTTTTTTTTTTTCTGGGACTGCTTTTTTTTTGAACAGTGACTTTTGTTTTGACGAGTGGAAAGAAGTAAACGTAGCCATGGCTCTTGGTGGCCCCTCCAGAAAAAACGCGGACATGCGGCTCTGTCTCTGTTTCTGCTAAGCTCCTAATGATTTCATAAGGCCGCTTTGCTCTGATAACTAAAGCAAGTTTCAGCTCAGCAACCTTACTTTCTCCGGGAAATTTCACTGCTCAAAAGGATTCTGTAACTTCCACGCCAAAAGTCTTCAGCTTTCTGCAGGTTTCTCTTTTCTCTCTGTGTTTGTTTGTTTGCCCCGAATATGTAAATGGAATTACCCATATTTGCAGCTATGACCCTTATACAGTAGCAAGAAAGCTTTATTGATATCCCATTTGGCTTCAGTAACTTGAACTTAGACGTTATGCCTGGTTCATTGCCTTGTAGGTGGTAGTTCTGATATCCCATTTAGCGCCAATAACTTGAACCTAGACGTTATACATGGTTCATTTCCTTGTAGGTGGTAGCTCTGATCTCTATGCTTCTTCGTGAATTGTGTAGTTCCCGGTAAAAAAAGGGGAGGGAGGTTTATACAAACCGGAGAGATGATGTTCTAAGGGAACAAAGATAGCCGTGTAAAGATGATGACACTATTTGGCATGTGGAAAAGTCCACGGACAAGTCAAGTCAATAAGTAATTCTTCCTTACTTGCTTTGAACTTCGAATCCATTATCTGAGTTTTTTTTTTTTTTTTGTTATTGTTTCTGGGTATTTGATATATATATATATATTTTTGAATAATCCTCAATTCTGCTGGTTTTTCATCGAAGATAAAGCCTGGTAAGAGGGGGAAGTTATAAGATGTTAATCACTCGATTTCACCAGCACCAAGAAATCTGCACATGCTCAAATTTAAGCGTCGGTTCTTCGTCTGCAATATCATCATTCATCAGTGACTAATTAAGAGTTTGCCATTTTTTTATGACAGTTTTCGATGTGAACTTCTCATTAGATTCCACCAGGCTAAACAAATAAGTGAATGATTCGTTAAGGAATAATCCCTTAACTATAAGCTGTAGTTGGCAGTTGCGTCCCGAGATTATGGCCTGTCCTACATCAGAAGCCATTTCTCACATTATAGATATTATTTCTGAGTTGGTAGTCTGTGCTAGTGGTGTCCTTGTGAAGAATGATAGTTTCAAGGAGCTTGCAGCTTACATGGAAAGAATTGTACCAATCTTGAAAGAATTGAAGACAAAAAAAGTCAGTGATTCTGAGGCCTTTACCAATGCCATTGACGTTCTGAATCGTGAAATTAGAGATGCAAGACAATTTACTCAAGAATGCTGCCAGAAGAGCAAGGTATACCTCCTAGTGAATGGCATGTCAATCAAGAAGCGTTTACAGAAGACAATGCGTGAGATCAGCCGGACATTTGATCTTCTTCCTTTGGCCATGTCGGATCTTTCTTCTAACACAATTGAAGCAATTGGAAAGCTCTGTGATGATATGCAGAAAGCTGAGTTTAAGACAACTGTAGCAGAAGAGGAGATTTTGGAGAAAATTGAGTCAGGGATTCAGGAAAATGGCGTTGATCGCTGCTACGCTAATAATTTGCTGATCCAAATTGCTGTTGCTGTTGGGGCTACTACAGAGAGGTCAGCATTGAAGAAGGAACTTGAAGATTTTAAGATTGAAGTTGAAAATTGCCGCCTGAGGAAAGACGAGGTTGAAGCTATGTACATGGATCAGATCATTGCTTTGTTGGAAAGAGCTGATGCAGCATCATCGCCAAGGGAAAAGGAACTTAAATACCTTTCCAAGCGGAATTCTTTGGGCAGTCAAACATTGGAGCCTCTTCAATCATTTTATTGCCCCATAACCCAGGAAGTTATGGAGGACCCTGTTGAAACTTCATCAGGGAAGACATTTGAGAGAAGTGCAATAGAAAAATGGTTTGCTGAAGGAAATAAACGATGTCCTCTGACCATGACTCCTTTAGACACATCGGTTTTACGATCTAACAAAATCTTGAAACAATCAATAAAAGAATGGAAGGATAGAAATACGATGACAACAATTGTTTTGACAAAAGAAAAACTCCATTCAGAAGATGATGATGAAGTGCTACATTGTCTAGGAAATCTACAGGATTTGTGCGAACAGAGTGAACTGCACAGGGAATGGCTGATGCTGGAGAATTACATACCAGTTCTCATCCAGATTCTTGGTGCTAGAAAGCATGATGTAAGAAACCGGGCTCTAGCCATCCTTAACATGTTGGCAAAGGATAGTGATGATGCTAAGGTACTAAATGATTTCCCCCGCTTTTTTGGCTTATCATTTTGTCTCAATGCTTTTTCCTGGTTGTATAATGTAAAGAGGAGCCTCGCCTCACTCAAAATTTAGCTTTCAGCCGGAAACCTTTTGGTGAATTGAAGTTATAATTTCTGATGCTCTCCTGGTGAAATAAATTAATTGTGTTCTAGACATTTTTGCTGAAAATGAATCAAGCTCTCATGGAATGAATGTGGAATAATTTTCCATTCTTTCTTGCAATCTATGGACAACCCTTATGCATAAACTTACTGGGTATCACAAATTCTTTGTGCTAGACTAAGCTATGAATCAACAGTATAGTCCGAAATTAGCATGATTTAGCCTATCAGGCATCCATGGACAACACCAACTCTGAAATTCATAACACTGAGATTCACCACTAAAAAAAGTGCCCTAACTACATCTTTCTTTTCTAAGAATAGCACCCATTATTTTCACTATCTTATCTAGGATGATGACCTCTGAAAAGAAATGAGTGTCTTCTAAACATTAGAATTAAACACCCCTATATAAAATATTCAAAAGAGATTGGTTAGGGCCTTTTCATTTTGACCTAAATCATTTCGTTTATGAACTCATGACGTTGCCAAAACACTTTCATTCATAACTTTGTGCTTAATGAGAATATAAAATTGCCTGCATAGATGTTGCTTTGTTTTATCTATAATTGGCTGCAATTTCACAATGCTAATGGTTAAGAGTTTTCAGGAAAGAATTGCCAACATTGATAATGCAGCTGTATCTATTGTTCATTTACTTGGACGCCGTGCGGGGGAAAGGAAGCTGGCGGTGGCATTACTACTGGAATTATCCAAGTTGGATTTGGTGCGAGAGGAAATTGGAAAGGTTCAAGGTTCTATACTGCTACTTGTGGCTATGTCCGGCAGTGACGATAACGAAGCTGCCAGATATGCAAAGGAGCTTTTGGAGAATCTATCATACTCAGATAACAATGTTTTAAAGATGGCAAGGGCAAATTATTTCCAGCCTCTTGTACATCGTCTCTCCACAGGTTTAATTGCTGTTCTACATAATCTTAGCCAATATGTTGATGTTTTTTTCCTTTTCTTTTACTTTCCTCTCTTTCTATTGGAAGATATGGAATAATATCTACAAAGCAGTCTCTCTGTTTAAACATTTGGTTCCTTAAAACAAAATTATTGGTCCAGTTGCCGCTATTACATGTGATTTGTTCTTTTATGGTAAACACCATGCACTTCATTTTCAGCATTTCATCTTCGTCTTTTCTTAGCAATGGTGACTATGGTTTCTTCTTTAATGATTTGATTTATTAATTTTAGCATGCCTGGTCATTTCACTATGACATTGCCGCTGAATAAGCTTTGATCAATGAAGCACCAAAACTTCATATGTTTTATCATGCTCGACTTTCTTCCACGTGGAAAACTACTGAATTGTTGTTTTTTTAATGAATTTTATCATCCTATAAATAGCATAAGCAGTGTTTCTTACCTTAATTATACATGTTGAATCTTTGATATGCTTTGAAGATAAACCGGCTAAATTCGGTGGTACTGCTACTTCAAATTATCTTTAATCTCTCTCCTAGCATATCAAAGTCTTCAAAATTATTAACCAAATGGCCAGGGGGGATGTAGTCCTGGTTTGAAAATAGAGCCTTTGCCTTAACTCATCTCTTCCTGTATGCAGGACCAGATGATGTGAAAATGATTATGGCAACAGCCCTTGCGGAAATGGAGTTAACCAACCTCAATAAAGCATCTGTGTTTGAAGGTGGTGTCCTGGATCCTCTTCTCCATTTAGTTTCACATTCTGATATTCAAGTGAAAACAGTGGCCATTAGGGCTTTGCGTAATCTATCCAGTTTGAAGGAAAATGGTCTGGAGATGATTCGACAAGGAGTGGTACGCCCCATGCTTGACCTTCTATTCCAGGCTGGCCTGCTATCCTTAAGTTTAAAGGAACACATATCAGCCATAATCATGCAACTTGCGGTTTCAACCATCTCTAAAGATGGCCAGGCACCAACGTTATTGTTAGAATCTGACGAAGATGCTTTAAAACTCTTCTCTTTAATTAGTTTCACGAGGCCCGATGTGCAGCAAAACATTTTACAGACCTTCTATGCGTTGTGTCAGTCCCCCTCAGCCTCATTTATCAGGGGCAAGTTAAGAGAGGTATGAATCTTACTGAAACTAATGAAGTTGCCCATAGCCAGATGAATTACTAGCTCCAAAGTAGGTAAGGCAGGCTACATTTTATAGGATGCAAGTCTGATGATATTAGTAACCAGGAACAAAGGTCCATCATGCCACATAGTGCATATCATGTAAAGGACAAAGAAAAGTGAAGAACAGCTTGCGTTTCGTACAGCATGCTTTGATTTATATTATATTCTTCATTCAAGTGCTTTAGTCTGTTGTAACTTCTGCCTTGTATGTATGACAGTATATGTAAATAAAGACAACTACAAACCTAGTTAAATTGTATCCTCAAACCAGCAAATATTTTGTGGTTTCAAGTGCCCCGTCAAGTTTATTATGCAGAAATTCTATCACTTTGGGCAGCAGTGACAGAAAACATACTGGCTGCTTTTATTTTCCTGAACTCTTATATCATGCAGAGAACTATATTAATAAATGTGCAATTTCCATCTGTCAATTTCATTTGTATCTCAGTATTTTGAATTATTTCACCCATGCATGCAGTGGTCAGTTTTTGAAGTTTTGGTTCAGCTCTGTCAGGAGGAGAATCTAAATCTACGGGCAAGTGCTGTAAAGCTGTTTGCTTACTTGGTGTGCGATGAAGCCAGCATCCCGGAAAACGTAAATCAGAAATGTGCTGAAGCTATGCTCCAGATCCTGAGATCTTCTTCAGATGAAGAGGAAATTTCTTTTGCCCTGGGCATACTACGTTATCTTCCAAAAGTTCACCAGATCACGCAGTGGCTTCTGGACGCTGGAGCACTTCGTATCATATATAATCATCTTCAAGATTGGAAGGACACAGATTGCCAAAAGAGCAAGTTGGTAGAGAATGCTGTTGGGGCCTTGAGTCAATTCACTGTTTCAACAAACCTAGAGTGGCAAAAGAGTGCTGCTGAAACCGGGGTTATATCTGTTCTAGTGCATTTGCTTGAATGTGGAACCGCATCAACAAAACAGCAAGCGGCATCATCTCTGGCTCAATTTTCAAAGAGTTCACTTGGTCTGAGCAGACCAGCATCCAAGCCCAAGGGCCTTTGGTGCTTCTCAGCTCCAACACAAATTAGCTGCTTGGTTCATGGAGGAATATGTGCTGTCAAGTCATCATTTTGCCTTGTTGAGGCGGATGCAGTGAGGCCATTAGTGAGGACACTCGGGGAATCTGATCCAGGAGCTTCTGAGGCTTCTTTAGATGCACTATTGACATTAGTCGAAGGAGAAAGACTGCAAAGTGGTAGTAAAGTGCTTGAAGAAGCAAATGCCATACCAGTAATAATCCAATGTCTTAATTCCACTTCTCCTGGACTACAAGAGAAGTCTCTACATGCTGTGGAAAGGATTTTTCGGCAAGTGGAGTTCAAGCAGTTGTATGGAGCCTCAGCTCATATGCCTCTAGTTGATTTAACTCAAAGAGGAACTGATCATGTGAGATCTCTGGCAGCTAGAGTTTTGGCACATTTAAACGTGCTTCATTATCAGTCTTCTTATTTCTAAAGAAAACCGATGATCACATTCATGCACTGAGGAGCTAAAAGGCCGTGATTATGAATGACATCGACAATCAGGTATTCTTAGGATACTTGTTAGCAAAAGATGTGCAGGATTGAACAGAATCATTTCAGAGTCACATGGATATGGCATACTTTCTATCACCTTTGATATGCTTGTGTCTTTCTATCATTGATTTGGTCTATCCTTGGCAAACCTAGTCCAAAGGAAGGACGTGACCGTAAGTCTACATGCATGATATAGTTATTTTAGAGGCGATATCCTTATCTCTTGATAATTTGCTTGGTCTATCCATTATGTCATCTCTGCAACAGCATAACATGGCTTCAGCATCTAGGAGAACCCAACTTGGTGTTTCTGAATCTGGCTGAACTTTTGATCAATGTTGAGCCTTTTTCATTTTGTTACTTCTCATGTAAAAATCATATAGACACTGGACATTGTACAATAAGTGACCAACATCCAGTTTGAGCCGTTGTCCTTTGGGAGTAGCAGCACCATGAACTGTTGGAGTAGGGACTTACTCGGGGCTTATATTGAATGTCCCAGATAGTTTGTACATTATTGTATTGTCTTGATTCTTGTCCAAAAGGAAAGACTATAGTTCTCTTTCCTGTGCGCTCTCTTGTTTCACTTTTTGGAACTTTTTTTTTTTTTTTTTTAAATTTCACATTGAAAACTACCATGATAAATTTTTACATGAAACCAAACACGCACTTGGACTCGTTGAGATTTCTCAAATTCAGTTGAAGGGGTACAAGAATATATGAATGATATTTAGATCCACTTTGGAACCTACACAGTATTTAGATCCGCTAAATTACATGGCGATTCAGTCTGTGCACAAATTAATTCATTTATAAACATATTTATAGGTATCCGCTCTAACAACGATGTTTTAGCCGCTGCTAGTACGAGCATCGCACAACTCTGAACAGTCAAAAAAGTAAAGTGCTATATCCCCCCCCCCCCAAAAAAAAGTAGAAGGGCTATGGATTATAATCCTTTGGGACCGCAAAGTCATACTAGCTCCGATACTAATTATAAAACCTCATTTGTAGTTTACAAACAAATATAAAACCAAAGGTAGTACTATTTTTTTGGGGGCTGGAAATATGGAGGCCAAAGGACCAATGATATTACATGGAAGAGAGAATTGGCAAGCTCAGAGATATAACGTGTTTTACCCGATTATAGGTAAGCTTTTTCCAAAAGTTGGCTATGAAAAAAGGGAGGTTGTTACTCCTGAGGATAAAATAATGATTTTTTTTTTGGCTTTTAAAAAGAATAACAGTAAAAGATTTTTTTTGCGTGTGAAAATTATCTAATCCAACTAGATATGTGTATTTCGCTCAGCTATGATTAAATTTTAAATAATAAAATGATATAGTATCTCTTAATCATCAAAACTATATTATAGATGAATCCTTCGAAGTAAATATTCGGTGAAGTTTCATCACTTCAAATGGATTTTTTTTACTATAATCTATAATATATTTTAACTTAAAATTATTCATTTTAAAATTTTAATAATGCATACATCCTTAAGTTTATCGAAGATAATGACATTTTTTTGGGCCAGCCCGAAGATAATGACACTGACATAAAGAAAAAGTTTTTTTTTTAAAAAAATAAAATCACTCATGGATTGAGCAAATTATGCTTGATACTCATTAGTTAAAATTGAAAGCCTCTATATAGGAAAAATCATTTAGAAAAGGTACCCACATCAAATATGACAAATTTGTGAATAGAAATTAGGGACTAGTAATAGATACTACTCCTCTTGTCCTTAATATATGATCTAATTATGAAGTTGATTTTGATCCTAAATATAAGATCTAATTCTTATATCTATAAGTTTTTCCCAAATCACCCTTATTAATACTTCCTCAATCATAATTAAGTATGAGAGGAAGGGAAGATATAAAAAATATGATTAAAGTATTTTAAGAAAAATATGTCATATTTATTATAGTTAACTAACTTATCTAAACTTTCTTAATCTAATCAAATTAGTTAAATAGATCTTATATTAAGGACCATAGGAGTACTAGATAGTTTTTTTTTGGGGGGGGGGAGAAACATTTCTCTAAAAAAACAATGCCATGATCCTGTTGGGGGCCAGAAAAAAGAGAAATTGCTTTAAGCACAAGCCACAAATGAAAAAATTTGAAACATGAGATTGCCATATATCATATATGAAATTATAAGTGAGATCCAACTTACAGCGTCCCATTTACAAGAGAGCTTATATGTTACTAGATAACAAGGTTATTGGCACCCTATTGCTTTGTTAAATTGACACAGATAAGTAATTAAGGGTGGGAATGAGAGTTGCCTTCTTACTTATTACCTCCTGTCTTAATTATAAGATCTCGTTTGTAGTTAGCTGGAGGTAGTATTAATTAGACCTAAGAGCACGAGGAGTAGGAGTAATGAGTTCGAATATCTTTCTCAAATCATTTTAAGTCAGGAGGCTTCATTTGTGAGATGAGTAAAAGGCTGCACCCCAAAATCGAGGTGCAACTGGGCAGCTCACACCCCAGTTCTGAGTATTAATTGATGGAACGAGTGAATTGAAATAAAATAAAATTCTGTTACAAGGCAAGACTGTTTGCATCTCCATCATCAAAGTTTAAAGTTGGAAAGATATTACAGGACTTACAATTGATTGACAAAAATAGAAGAAGAGTGTGTAATTAAGATTCAGACTTGGAGAGTTGTTGGTGAAGAGCTTTCTCAAGCCAGGCCTCGGCATGCTGCATCATGCCAGGGCTAAGCCTGACCATCAGAATACAAAACTCAGTCTCATCCAGCTTCCCATCTCCGTCCAGATCTCCCTGCCTTATCATCTCCTCTGCTTCTTCTCTGTTCATCCCTTCCATCCCCAGAAGTGCAGCGTTCCTTCTCAGACTCTCCCCTGTGATCAGTCCCATTTCCGGATCCGATAGAAGCTTGAAGCCTGCACACAGTTCTGAAACAAACGCCTCCACGTCCAGCTTCTCCGCCATAACCGGAAGCAAGTCCTCGAATTCAGATTCTGCGGAGGAAAGTTGATTCTTTGCGGCTTCTTTTCTCTCCATTGGAGCTGCCTTCAAAAGGCTGTGTGGGGGAAGAACGAGGAATTAGTGAGGAAGGAAGAGGGGAGTTTATAGCGGAAATGTCAAAGGTTCGTGTTTCTGTGGCTTTTGGAAGAAATGTAAAGTGGTAGCGTTTTCGTGCCATGAGCTTCGTCCAATTGTCCAATTGCAGATTCACATTCTGCATGGGCCCTACCTGTCCTTCCATTATTTATTGCCCTCCAATATGCCCAATTATTCAACTCAATCCATATAGAATTTCTGGAAAATCAAAAAAATATATAACAAACTATTATAATATTTACAAACAGTGTAATAATGCAACTTATTGGCACTTTCAGCTTATGCCAGAGGGCTTTTGCATCTAACTGCATGAGTGTGGAGATTTTTTCACATAATATCCCATCAATAAAGTTGTTGTATATGGGAGCAGAGATTTGTGAGAAGCCAAGGTAGTTTTTTTCATTATTATTATTATTATTATTGGGGGATTGGATATATATAAATACGGGAGGGCAAATAATATTTGGAGGAGGGAAGGAAGGTTTCTAGGAAGGTGCCTTTGGGTGGGGAAAGATGGAAAAGGAATATTCTGCCAAGGAACATGTCATCTTCTTTGCCTGTCGTTAATTAGCTCATTGAATCAGATTGCTTCTCTTGTTTCCATGAACCTTCCTCCTCCTCCTCCTCTTCTTCTTCTCAATTCTTTTATATATACAAGTTTTTTTGTCTGGGTCTCCCATGTCCCCATCATTCTATGCATCACCTCACAAATATTACTCTCCGATCCTAAATATAAGACCTATTTTGTAGTCTAATTTATATTACAAAATAGATTTTATATTTAGGACCGGATGAGTATTATATTTCTTTGCCTTCAATCATTTTAATGTTATCATATCAAAATCAGGGTTTTTATTTGCAATTTTTCCATTGTTTTTATGCTTAATAAAAAGGGGGGAAAACATAAAAACGATGAAGAGAATGAGATTTATCAATTTATTGACGTGACTGAGAAAGCTAAATTGAGTTTTTTAATTCCATGCAGTTTCCACGTTGCCACTCCCCCAATGTAACCAAACCATGCCGATCTTTATCGCTTTTTTCTTTCCTTCTCCCTCTTTCTCCTGCTACTCACAGGACAAGATTCGGATCTTTTCATATCTTCTTTCTTATTTTCCTGCCTCCATTATTTAAAATAAATAGATCACAGGGCAAACCAAATACAAGTAGAATGGAAGAGTTGATCTTTTATCTATTCCTTTTATTCTAAATATGAGCCATATTTTATAGTATAATTTAAAATAAATAGATCACGAGGCAAACCAAATATTAGTACAATGTAAGACTTAATTAAGAAGTTGATGTTGATATTTTATGTAAGGTTTACTTTTCTAGTTCTAAATATAAGACATATTTTGTAGTATAAACACCGGAGTAGTATTTTACATATTATCATTTTTTTTAAAATTAATCCTTATGATATTCTTTTAACAATAATTAAGTATAAGAGGAAGGAAAGAAATTAATATGCTATTTCAGAAAAAACATACCATATTAGCTAATTTAACTAACATTCTTAGTCTATTTAAATTATTTAATTAAGTCTTATATTAATCCATTAGATCCGGTCTCGTACATTATTAGAGTGATTTGGAAATGCCGGCAAGCCGCATTGTTCTGTTCTACTCCCTCCGTTCCTTATTATAAGAGACATTTCATGCTTATGGCATGTTCCTATATATAAGAGACACTTAAAAGTTGTCTTTATTTTTTTGTATTGATTTCTTATTTTACCCCTATTTATTTTCTCTCCAACTCATACTCTCTCTCCCTCCCACTTCTCTATCTTTTAATAATTTAATTGTTCTCTCTCATACTCTCTCTCCTTATTAATGGGGGTATTGTTGGAAAAAATATTATACTTTTTACATATTAATTGTCCTCAACTAATTTTAACTGTTTTTTTTTATCAACGTAATTTAGTTATTTGTCTCTTATAATAAGGAACGGAGGGAGTATTTTATTTCCCCCATAAACCACAACGACAAGCAGAGGGCGACGCAGCGAAATAAATTTAACGCACAAATAATATATAATTGCAGTAATTAACAAGTGGATGAGGCTATCTTCCACAATTTATTAAGCATTTATTGGTTGAGCTTGACGTGTCCTCCATATACCCAATACATGAACAACCTGCTCATCTCTCCATGATTTTCAAAATATTATTTCATTTGTAACGTTATTTTAAATTCTTTTGAAATTTTATGTTCTTTTTTTAAAAATGAAACTTCTAATTAATAGTTGACGTCATGTTATCACTCTCCCTTCCTTCTAATTAATAATGTCCCGTTAACAACAAACAAAGATCAAATTCAGAAGGAAAATGATGGTGCACAGCAAGTCCTTCTAATCATCATTACCACCACTCTAATCATTATCATTATAACTAAACCCACATAAAGATCTGCCATCTCTTGGAGGGCTGTAATTGAATATTTCACCCTCCCTCTGATCTCCATTGGAGCCCAAGTTTTGGGAGGAAATCACAATTACAGAATTATCATGGCTCCCATTTCAATTCTTATTTCATGCTAACTTTTTGACTCAGATACAAGTACTCTGTTCAAAATTTGACATCTCATTCTTGCCACACAACTTCAGTACTTAATTTTCAGGATTTCTTTTGGATCAAGTTAATGAACAAGGTACTGCCCATATTGTCCTATGAATAAGGGACGTACGGGGTATTGTTTTCTTAAGACCCAAAATGCTGACAACTTAATAATTCACATTATTTTAATGGAAACGAACAACGTAAAATAGAACATGGCAGGCAGAATCAGAACACGTTGTAACTTGCAAGATAGTGTTCACTACTTGGATTTCATCAGAAAGTCCCAGCCTGTACTGATCTGTCATACAATCATTAAACTTGATACAGTATCTTTTATAGTCCGATGTCATTGGAAACCCAGACACAGAGGCTCATAACTCTAAAGGTTCGAGGCAACCCACAACAACAAACTCATACGCTATCCTGGTTTTCTCTGATGGAACATGGTATACGATCATGTTGAGTGTGTCAACAAATCATCATCGGATCCGTTTCATTTCTGGAAGAGGTTGTTGTGGTTGTTCTTTTTTATATTTTTCAAAATAAAGCTTTAATATTCGAACACATATTCTTTCTTTCTTTCTTTCTTCAATTTCATCTTTTTAAAATGTTAACATGCTGGCGACGCCATTTTTTGAGAATAAAAACAATTGCGCGGATAAGTTTTTTTTGGCCACTCGTTTGTCAAGACCGAAGATGGATCAAATCATGTTATTTAATATTGATACAAATATTCAACAGGTTATCCATATTAAAAAAAACATCAACAGGAATCTACAAAAGTTTAGGTGAATTGGTGACAAATAAAACTCTCACATGATTTGGACTCATGATCCTATGTGTTATAAATCAACTTGTTACTAACTAGTTGGTAAAACAAATTATTCTATTATTAACTACAAGTAATAGTAGTCATTTTTAAACTCTCTGTAGTTTGTACAACGAATAAAAAAAAAAAGGTCACAATTAATACAAAATGGTAAAAAGCAGTTTGAATTTGGATCCTTCAACTGATGCAAAGATGCCAGATTGTGATATTAATTGAAAAAAACTATGAACAACTAGTGGCTATATCTTTCTTTGACAGTGATTCTCTCGTTATATGTAGCCATCTGGCAAAACCATAAATCAGGACGGATCTAATAGCTAGTGAGGAAGAATCTGAAATATACTTATGCTTGAATTTGAAATCATATTCGCACAATGAAGCTTTGTGCAGAATACTTTACAATTGATCTGTTGGGTGAAAGTGCGACTGGACGATGATCTTGAAGTTTTCTAGTACGAACTTTCCTTCCTTGTACTTCTGGGTTTCATCAAAGGCCTTTGTGTATGTCCATCCCAATTCCTCTCCGCAATCACTGCAATACACATCACTCACTCTGTGCAGACCACTCAGGAGCTGCCTATCCTCCTGTGCTCCTTCCTTTATGTTCATTGCGTGAGAAAACAGAAATGCTCTTCCATGGCTTCCCTGTTATAAATCTTGTCATGTCCTTGTCGCAGTAACTTAAATGTGTGCGCGCGCGTGTGTGCATATGCATAAAGAATCATATTCAAACAAGGAAAAAAGGGGGATAAAGGATTAATGGATTAACCCGAAACTCTTTGGAAATGATATCACCATGGCAAGCGATCTGGTTTCGGCACTTAAAGCAGCAGTATATCCCGGCTGATCCCATCAAATCCGCCATTTGCTATCAATTTTGCTTCTGCACTTGAAATAAGAATTATAAATGAGGCGTCAAAATATAAAGTAAAAAAGTTGTGACTAGATGCAAAGGCCTTTCTTATTAAGTCTTTCTTAAATGTTAAGTTGTGAGTTCTTGTGGCGTATAGCAGGTATAATGGGTGTGTGAGTTGTGGGAAAAGAAAAATTTTGTGACCATTCCAGACCAAAACACTAGGAGTCGGTCTTCTTCTAATCACCAGAATCTGGAAATGGCTATGTGGATGTATGAGAGATCAAGTGTCATCAGGCTAAAGTGGAATTGATGAATGCTCAATCATTGAGAAATGAAAGCGAGTTTGATTTGAGATAAAAGTGGTTGATTCGGACGGGATTAATAAGATAAAAGTGATTTGGTCAGAGAATGATGCAAGTATCGAAGTATACTAACTAATTAAGAAGGTCTATTACTGTGTCGATCCTGGAGTATATCGAGGTTCTGAAGAAGTATGATATCACCGACAGATCAAAATTACCTATCTGTCTGTCTCTCTCTGGGGAAACACACACACACACACACACAATAGTATCTATGTATATGTATATGTACACACACATACTCTTTTGATTCTATTTATAAAGCACTTTCAGTATGTTTCACACAGACCAAGAAAAACTTAAACTTCATTAACTCTCATTTAAAATTTAATGACTTTCCAACTTTATCCTTATTTAATATACATTATACCTCATATAAACAAAGTCAACGTAATAATAAATGAGGGTAAAATTGTACATTCATACAAAAGAATTTTCTCAGTGCCCTATAAATAGGACCAAAAAGTACATTCTTTCTCTACTCTATAAATAGGACCAGAGAAGTATATATATATATATATTTCTTCTTTCGTTCCTTATTATAAGATTCAATTTTTTGAATGGGTCTGTCCCTTTTTATAAATTCTCTTTGAGTTTGTCTGAGCATTTAATACATTATTATCTATTTTCTCTTTAATTTAATGTATTTAATACATTCTCTTTCTTTGTTTATCTCACTATTACTTTATTACATTTACCCATTTATATATAAGACAGTGACACAATAAGAAGCTGAAAATCTGTAAATAAGGAATGTCAATAAAAATTTATTGTCACTTACAAATTCAGAATTGTCAATACCAAATAAAATTGTGTAACCAAACCTGATTTGGAATTTGTAATTTCCAGCTTTTTTTCCTGTCATTCTCCCTTTATATAGAGGTATATTTAGAAAAAAATTGCATTTATTATTTTAACTGTTTTCTTAAATTGTACAATTTAATTAAAGAGATCGTATAATAAGAGACAGAGAGACCAGTAGACAATAGCCCCCATTCTATGAACTCAATAAATGACCGAATTTTATGATCCATGAAAATCCGTCTCTAACCAAACCGGCTTGTTCGAGATGTTTAATAATCGCATAGGGCATTTAATGAATTTAACTCATTTTATGATCCATTAAAGGAGTAGTGTTTTTTTTTTTTTGACCGGATTAAAGGAGTAGTGTTAAAACAATAGTAATTAACACACTAATAAAAGGGGGAAAAAATTAACACACATCACTATAGAAGGATGTTTAAAGATGCCAATATGCAACCCCCACCAACCTGTTGCGTAGATCAGGGTGGTTTATTAATGACTAGGCTTCTCAACCACCATGACGGATACTTTTTAGCACTTCACTTGATTTTTTAAATATTGCATGTCTTGCAGTTTACTCAACCACCACAAGGTTTAAATATTGTACTTCTCCTGTCCTTAATATATATCCAATTTTTGAGTTGGTTTTGGTCCTAAATATAAGATCCATTTATCATATTTATCAGTTTTCTCTAAATTACCCCTATGAATACTCCTTCAACTATAATCAAGTAGAAGAGGGAGAGGGGTATTAAGAAAGATGATTATGATGTTTTGGGAAAAATGTGTTACTTTTCTTATAATTAACTAATTTACCTAACTTCCTTAATCTAATCAAATTAGTTAAATAGGTCTTACATTAAGGACCGGAGGAGTATTGGTTTATTAATGAGAATAATATAAGTTGGGTCAAATTAAACTTAAAATTAGCAAATACTCCTTTAATCCTAAATGTAAAATCCTTATACATACTAATCAATTATTGTAAGTATGAGAGTTTTATATTTAATACCGGAGGAGTAACAATTAATCAATTATGCCCAGTTCTCTGCTTAGCAAAGTCACGGAAACTAAGATAAAAGAAAAATTTTACAAAAAGGATATGAAAATTACTAAATTCTAAACAGAAATTTTTAAAAAATGTGTTGTTATTTACAAGTTAAGTATAGTGAAAACTTATTAAAGTGTAAGAAATAATCCTGATTTAGGATTTAGTAATTTTCAAGTTCCTATTGTGGGATTTTGCTGAAGATATATCTACACATAATAACATAAGAGAGCCTATTTATATATACTCAGTTCATTGTACATACATAGGAGAAGACGTTCACTGCTTTGTTCATCAAATATAGAAATTATGCTGAGGCAAATATATGCGAGTGTGTGTTGGCATGTGGGTGCACATTGCTCTTTCTTCATTGGATAATTAATTAACTTAAATGCACCTCATTTCATTTATATACATGCGTGACTAATTTTTTATTATGGATGAGAGGCAAGAAACATGTGTGCATATATCTTTCAATTATTTATATGTGTATGGGCCTGAATCACTTTTGAAATATTCACTGAATCCTAATATTAATCCAAGAACATCAAGTCGTTCAATGAATTTAGCAACAAACTTTTTTAAGTTTGTAAATTAAACGTTCCCTCATTAATTAACTTTCAAACTTTCGTCAATTGTCCAATTTCAATAGAAATGAATGTATCACCGGGATTCATTTTTGGCCAATGAATGTATCATCACCAGGATTAAACCTTGTGGATTTATTAGGTAGCAGTATCAAAACATTTTCTTTGACATTTGTCAAACAAATATATTAAATAATTAAGTTCGTGCATGCACAAGAATCTTAATAACCATAACCACGCGTGAACTTTTTTAGGAGAATAACGATCACCCTTTTTTTGGTTTTAATATCATTATTAGATATCTAATTATGTTATATTAGGCATTCGCTGGCTTAATTGGAGGTAGCCTATGATTCAATGCATCTTTAGAATTTGAATCCCAAAAAAAAAAAAAATCCAGATCTCTCACCTAACCCGGTTTTGGTTTGCATGATCTCACTGAGTTATGAATAATGTGCATGGATGTTTTTTTTTGTTTGTTTAGTTTATATGGATAGGTTGATTTGACCTACGAAAACAAAAGCCAAATTGCTAGTGAAATCTGGGAAAATGTGATAAAAAGCATTATTAATACTCCTATTGACTTATTTATAAAATACTTTCAGCATATTTCATACAAATCAAAAAACACTTTAAAATGTATTAACTCTCCATTAACATATAATAATTTTTTAACTTTACCTATATTTAATATATACACCTTTCAAAAAAGCTAACTATCTATACTATAATAAATGAAGGACAAAATAGTACATTCACACTAAAAATTTAATGAAGTGACTTATAAATATGATTAAAAAAAAACATTCTCTCTCTGTCTTATAAATAGGATCAGAGGAGTATAACCAAAGGAAATTGCAGAAAATAATTCTAGGAGAAGTCGAAAGTCAAAAAACTATAATTACAAAGAAAAACAAGTATTTCAGATTTCCATAACATTGAAAATGGGTTTTGCGAGGAACAGGCTTTCATTCGAGAAGATTAACATAATCAATGAGCGGCCAATCTTTTCTTATCAGACCATCTCTTTCGGGTGGCTTCTAATTCTTGCCATTTCATCCTAGAAAGCTTCTCGAACCATTGCCGATACTGTACCTCGATTGCATCAACTTCTGGCTTAAGCTCAACATCAGCATCTTTTTCTGCTAAGGATAAAAGAGTACAGTTACTTGTGAAGCTCAAAATATTAGACGCTGGACTAAACAATGGAGTTGCTGACCTTGTGTTCTCTCTGAATTTACTGATCACTATGTCCACTTCAACATTGTTACTGCTCTGCTCGAAATATGTACCTCCTCGTAAGCTTTGCAAAGACGTGCTTTCCACAGCTGTCTCGGAAGCAGCAGATCCTAGCGACTGTTGATCTTCCAAGTTAGTCAAACCAAGAGCAGAAGAAAAATAAGTCTGAAAATCGGCATTATCAACATTGTCACACAAAGCCTTTTGATCAGTACTCCGTCCAGAGGGAACATTATCTGGAATAGAATCCCATGCGCATGTTGTTACAGTTCGTCCATCCCCAGGTATCGGAGACTCACCATTCAGACTTGCTCCTCCACACGAGGAATAATCAGAAGAGGTCTTCCACTCAGGCATAAGTCTCATTATCAAGTAATCAATAAGCTCAGCTATGAAGACAACATCATGATTGGCCAACTCTAATTGTTCACCCATCTCTGAGGCAACAGAGAGTGCAGTATCTGAATCAAGGTAAAAGAGAAAAAGTATATTCTTTGCTCGACCTGGAGTCAATAGAACAACTATGTGTTAAGATCTAATTAAATGAAAATTATAGCTTCGCCACACTGTCGAGGTACATAAAAGCATGGCCAAAAAAGAGGGAGGCAAAGAAAAGAGCATATGCTCACCATCTGAATCAGCTATACGCAATGTCAATGACATTGAGGTATCATCATTTTTCGTCCCTTTTAACCTAAATTCGTTGTTCTCAAGTGTCCTCTGAAATTCTATAACGGGACTATGTGGTGGACTTCCAGAGTTACTTTCTGTGTTCACACTCCCGGAAATCTGTTTGTATTCAACATCCATGTCCGTAGAGAGAGGATCGGACTTAGACAAATCCACAGCTTTTGGGGCTTGACAAGATAAATCCAGAAGATCAGGGATTGGTTCCCTTGGACTCTCATCGACTTGGAGAAATGGATCTTTGAGAAGCTCCTCTGCAGACAATCTCTGAGAGGCTGAAACAATGCATTTTTCAATAAACTCCTTAACTTGAGAGTCCTTCACTTTACTAAGCGAAGCAGGCTTGATGCCCTTGAAAGAGTATACACAAGATATCAATGCAATAATTACAGCTATAAGCATACCGTAAATAGTATTAAATATGCTAATGATTGCTACTTACACAAGTAACCTTCTTGAAGATCTGAGCAGGACTTTTGCACTCAATATATGGATACTCTAAAGCAACCATCTCTAATATGCACATCCCAAAAGAATAAATGTCAACAAGTTCATTGTACTCCTCTTCATATAACTCCGGAGCCATAAACTCGGGAGTGCCTTATAATATAAAAGAAAAATCAACAAATAAAGGCAGAGTTCAGTACTTCAAACTGGGTCGATATGCTGAAAACTAAACAAGGAAAGTAGCATGTCACCAATGACACTGTGAGCTGTCGACTGCTTCAAGATAATTGCCAGGCCAAGCTCCCCTATTTTCGCCTCTCCTTGGTTTCCATTCACAAAGATGTTGTCACATTTCAAGTCTCTGTGAATAATAGGTGGCTTGTGACCATGTAGATATGCCAAGCCTCGAAGAATCTGTCTAGCCCAATTCTTTATAGCCTTCATGTCAACATATCTATGCTTCTCCCGGTATCTGTTAGCCAAAGGAAAACAATCATTTGAATCTCATATTACAATCAACCAAAATATAAACAAAGATTAAAGGCAACGAAGAAGACATACTGCCTCAAATTTCCAGAGGTGAAGAGCTCAGTGATCATGTTAACAGTTTTCTTCTGGTCATCAATCCACGAATTATAGAACTTAATGATATTTTCATGCTTCAAAGACTTCAAAAGATGAACTTCAGAATATAATTTTGATAGATCTTCTGCTGACTGGAGGAGATCATCAATCCTAATTTGGTTCCAAGCGACTTCTATCCCATTAACTTCGTCGAATCCCCTATAACTGCCCAAAAGGAAGATAATGAGTTTGAGTAATCTGCTGCCAAAAAATAATTGCATATTTACATAAATTTGTTGGAATACAACTAAAAATCTGAATAGAACTATTAAGACTAAGAACTGATATGGTGAGCATAGATATTGGGTGGAAACGGAATAAAATAAGAGATAAGTATCAGAATCATACACAGTCTTGAAAGCACCCCTGCCCAAGATTTCATTGTACTGTCGAAAAAAAGAGAGGACAAAATTAAATAAACATGGGAAAATAGGAATTATAGATGTTAAGATATCTGCTAAGAAGAGCTGTTGTCTTTGCCCCTGGTTATGCTTTAACAAAAGGTCCTTGATGCTTCCCCACCAAACATTATCTTTATTGGTGTAGTGAATACCAAGAAGGGAAGTCCCAAAGTAGATATAAATCCAAAATCACAAGGGGCATTTAAAGCTCCATTTAGTTGACCCAATCCAGAACAACGGATATGAGATGTTTCACTGCAGTATCCACACTTACCAGAACAAGGAGAGTTGATCACAGCCGAACTTACCTTCCTTGCATTGTAATCAATGCATTGCATAAGGGTAAAATAAGATGAGGTTCTGGTTCCAGCGAGGTCAGTGGTTTTTACCATTATATTTACTCTGAGGTCATCTTTAAACTAAAAGGTAATAAAGTCCCACACATAACATCACCAACCGATAATACCATCCAATCCATAATAAATCAATATCCGGCACCATCAGACTCAGAAGATAATAGAAGACAGGAAAACCGTAAATAAAACATCAAAAGCTAAGTTTCGTAGAATATAAAGTACCCGAATATAGAGGGCTGTAGGATCTTTCTCTACAAAATCTTCCTCGAACTCGGGAGGCTTCCTAGCCCTGTGTCCATTATCTGCATTCGGATTCATTCCGGGCTGAAAATCCAATAACTAAACAAAAAAGGCCAATGATTTCTGTTTTGTTAGATTTTCGTTGTAACTCAATATTGCTTGGGGTCAAAGCCGACGCTGATTATCAAACCGAATCGGAATGAAAGAACAAACACTGTCAGATAAAGCTCGGGATGCAATGCTGAAGCTAAACGAATCGAATGCCGACAGCAAAAGGCATCGGCATTCGATGACATTCGGAGGCAGAGAATCTAAATCTAGAACTCCACCATCCATACCATAACAATGATTCATTCTCAAACCAAACCCAACACGATTTTCTCACCAAAATCCATTTCCCTTCGGTAGCCCAACTCCTGAAACCTCAGAAAAAGTCAAACTTGAGCATATGGGATTTGAATATAGTCTGCAAAGAAATTTACTTCGAAGATACCGGGGGAAAAAAAACAAATCAGCAAGAAAAGGAAATAGGAAATGAATTTGCTGATGGCTGACAAGAAAGAAGGCGAAGCCGTTGAGATTGAGAATATGAAAGCTAATTGGGGGAGCGAGAGAGAAGGCTAGAATGGACACTTGAATGGAGCGCGCGACTGTTTCTGCAAATATGTAGAATCTCCCAGCGGGAGGAGTACGTCATTCGCGGCTTCTTTTTTAAATTTTAAAAAAAAAAACTGTCGGAACAACGGAAGTTCAAAGAAAAGTAGCAGTCCTCTGTCTTTAATATAGGACTTAATTACTGAGTTAGTTTTGATTTTAAATATAAGATTTATTTTTTATATTTAATAATTTTTTCTAAATTATCTCTATGGATACTCCTTCAACCATAATCAAGTAGAAGAGGAAGAAAGGGTGTTAAAAAAGATGATTATGTTATTTTAGAAAAAACGTATCACATTTCTTATAATTAACTAACTTATCTAACTTTTTTAATCTAATCAAATTAATTAAATAAGTCTTATATTAAAACCGGTGGAGTATAATGCTGGAGGGAAACGTTGGCCAAAAAGAAAAAATACCGGAGGGAAACAATATAAACAAATCCAACTCTCTTAAACTCTTTATTAAAAAGAAAATTTTAACGTGGATATAGTTCTTTCACATATATATCATAAAAAAGTAACTAGGTAGGTAAATAAATTATAAATAACAAATTGCTAAGGGAAACTGATTCAGTGGTTTTTAAATTATATATTTATTCTGAACCCAAAAAATAAATTATTACATTTCTATGTTTTTCATTTTCAAAATTAATAAATAAATAATACTAGTGTGTTTTTCTCATAAGTTCTCTCTGAATTTCTCTCTTCTTCTGAAAACTTCACTTATAATATCTTTCTTCTGTCGTCAAATATTCTGAATATGCTCAGAAATAGAATCCGACCATGATCCATGAAGGAGTGTTTAGTGACAATCTTTCCAGTTATCCTAGATCTGGTGTTCAAAGTTGAGAGTCCTAATGTGGTCCGTTAGTGAATTGAGAATGAGTGGCCTTATCTGAACTAAAGTTTTGAATATCAGGCTATGTTAACTTGGTCCGAATCAACTAACACACCCGGGTGGCATTAGAACCAGAACAATTTTGACAGAAGTAAGATATTATTTGTGAATGTGAATAAGAAGATATCATCTTATCATGAGTAAAACCTCAAATAGTCTTGAACCCGTGCGCCTTTCTTCTTTCTTTACCCGCAAAGACTTCCCTTCTCTGTTGGCAGAACTCTTTCCAAAAAAATAGAAAATCTTGTTGAAATAGATCATTTTCTGAAAGACATTAGAATTCAGGAAACATATCTATCTCTTCTCAGTCTTTATAGTCTTACTATCGAACCAACCGTGTCTCCAGAAATATTAGAAGTCTGATCTCCACCAAAAAGCCCCATATAAAAGAGATTGTCCAGTCTACTAATTTGAAAAACTAGATGGCGACATAAGATAGTCTTTTGACGGGTCCCCCTTATCTTCATATTGACGCAAAGAAGATTTCTAGGAGATTTCCTGATGTTGGTGTTTCCTAATCTTTGTAGATAAGTTTATGGCGAGGGGACAATAACGTGGATTAATCCAAATAATACACACGATAAAACATGTCTATTATGATTAAAAAATGTGAAGCATTCATTTATTTATTTTTATAATTTAAACTAGCATAATACATAATAATTGAACACACGACCTTGAGTTTATTTATGAATTTGTGTTTAAACAAAATTCTTATTCAATACTATTTCCTGTTTTTAATACAAAAGCTAGTTGATTGATTTGAGTAGACTAAAGAAATTAATTGTGTTAGTTATTGATAATAAATAGATATTTTCTTTTCTAAAATATCTCTACTAATCAAATATATTAGTTAAAACTATTATTATAATGACTATTTTAAAAAAATAAATAATTATAAGAGACAAAATGGATTGAAATATTATATTTAAAATCAAAATAAAAATCAAACCAGATCATATATTAAAGACCGGGATAGTATAAATATTGTCTAGGCCAAACTCCAAATGCTTCGAGTAGTTTTTCTTTTACATTTTTTGGGAACTTTCTTTTACCAAGAAAATTTCTTAGGAACAAACATTATGGAGATATTTAGATAAAAGCAAAACTATGGTTTTAAAAGTATTTTTACGGTATACAAAATAAATATGTGAAGGAGTTTATTTTATTTTGCGAAAAAATACTTCTAAGAAGTATTTTTGGGATGCTTCCAAACACCTCTTTAATATCTTTGTCCGCAAACAGATTTATAATAGTAATAATATAAAAAACATTTCATGATTTTTCAAACTCATGATGATATATTCACGCACATACGTTTTTTATTTTATTTTATTTTCCGGATATTTGGTTTATATCCATTAAATTTTAATTAAAAATTTTTTAATTAAAATATTGAAAACAAATTATTAATAAGAATTGTAAGAAAATCAGCTTCAGGGTCAAAAAAATCCACTTCAGTTCATTTTGTGAGATATTTCTTTTCGAGTTAATAAATTGAAAAAATGAAAAGATTCTCGCGTGAGAGATGCATGAATTCCTCACGCCCGCCACCACCGAGTGGCATTTTTTTCTTTCTCCTTTAAAATCCAAGAGGCCCGCGATTCTGCATTGCTTGGAATTTTCTCCCTCCAAGTTACCCTCAGTGTTTTATTTCCTTTTTATCGCCAAGTAATCAATTTTAGCTTTTAATTTCGATTTAGGTCTGATCCGATTGAGAGGAATAGGGACAAAAGAAAGGATCTTAAGAGGTTTTCTGGGTTTTGGATTTGAACCCCGCCGGCTGCTTCCATCCAAAATTCTTCCAAATTCTAGGTTTTATGGCGAATCTGTACGTCAACGCTATGCCGCGCCGCCCGATCTGAACAAAACACACCGACTGGTTCACATATCCGGGTGTGTGGACTTCCTACATCCTCATCCTCTTTTTCTCTTGGCTTCTGGTCTTCTCCGTCTTTGGCTGCTCTCCTGGAATGGCCTGGACCATTGTCAACCTTGCCCACTTTGCTGTATGCTTAGTTTTAAATTCCTATTCTTCGATTACATACTTTCTTTCTTGTATCTGTGTTTCTGTTTGTATTGGTGATTAGTACTGTTTAATTGATGCTCGTTTGAGTTGAGTTTGAGCCTTTATGACGTGTTATCCTGTTGATTAGGGACCGTTTCTTATCGGGTCTTATTTTTTTCTTGAGCAATAATAAGCACCGAATTGGAATCTCGTGGTTTAAATGTCCAGACCTTTTTGGGCAGATGTTTCTCGAGTAGTTGTACACATTCATATTTATCTGTTTGCTTTTGTTTTGCAATGTATCATTATGAGCTCTTTAAAGAATTTGACACTTCTATTTGGCTTTTTGCTGTCTACAAAATGATACCAGTTTTGAATAGTGGTTCGCGACACCTTGGTACATGTTTCTTACTGATTAGGCTATTTTAAACATCTTTCTTGCGCTTTTTTTTTTTTTTTTTGAGAACCACAACCCTTTCTTGTAACTTGGGAGTTCCAGAAGGCCTTTTGGATTGTGTTGGTCCCCGCAAGTGCTAGTTTGTTGAATCCGTTATACTTTGGATATTAAACTAGAAAACGCCTCACGCATGTTTTGGTTTAATTGTAATTCCAGATTAACTTGTATACTTTTGGTTCTTTTGTCTCCTAAAGTGTAATACCCTTGCCTTTAAATGTCTTATGAAACATATGTTGCTTGTCAAAACTTGGGAAATAGTTTTGCCTTCTCTTCTTTGCTTGGGTTATTATGTGTCTTAGCTAAATTAGTAAGGTAACCCTTGCTGAAACCTTCATCACATGACAAGACCACAGAAATGCCAACGAATTTTTCTATTATCTTATGATTTGGTCAACTTATAAGTTAATTTTCTATCTCTGTCAGTTACTGTGAATGAATTTTATATTATTGGACCTCTCATCTCATCATGGCTTGGTTGATCGTTTCTTGGCCATCAGGTAACTTATCAGTTTTTTTCACTGGAAGAAAGGAACTCCTTTTGCTGAGGACCAGGGATCTACAATCGATTGACTTGGTGGGAGCAGATAGATAATGGAAAGCAGCTCACCCGTAACAGAAAGTTCCTAACCATTGTCCCTCTGGTGCTGTAAGTTTACTTCTCTCTCTTCTCTTTCTCTGTTCATTCCCTTCATCATTTTTGCCGCGTGTAATGCTACAGGGAGTTGCTTGGATCTAAGATCTCTGTTGTTTCATACTTTCATACTCCCCGGTCCTTAATAGAATAGAAGACCTATTTAACTAATTTAATTAAATTAAGAAGTTAGGTAAGTTAGTTAATTTGATTAAATCTCTGTCCTTTTTCCCTCTTCTAATTGATTTGGTTGAGGTAGTATCTATATGGGTGATTTAGGAAAAACTGATACATATGAGAAATAGTCTTAATATTTAGAGTCAAAATTAATCTAATAATTAAGTTCTATATTAAGGACTGGAGGAGTGTATAGATAAAAAAAATTAATATATGGACGATTCATATTATTCCATGATGGAATTTGAACTTTATCACTCTGCTCATCTACTTGTGAAAAATTGTGTACATATGAATTGCTTTTAAAATCAACACAATCCTCCCCTGTTATCTTGGTATTTGACCATAGTAAAGTTGCATCAGCTATTAAACCACGGCTGTTTTTAGGAAATAGTAAAGGATCTTATTATATCAACTTAAAAGGGATAAGGATAAAATCTTCGCCATGCATTTTTTAAATCAAAGAAATTTTAATTGAAAGAAAAGAAAGTACAACTTGTTGAAGGATAATCTAATCCTCCAACCTCGAAAGACTAATTTTCTTAAACCAGGACAAAGTAACAAAACCCTTGGAAAGTTCATGACTGGAAGAAGGCTGTCTATTCTTTTCTCATATCAGATGTAGTGGCTTCCGATACACAATTCTATGCAACAGCATATGTAAAGGCAAAGACATGAAACCAAGCAACTACTGTGCGAGAAATGTGATTTGTTAGGTCTAGTTACTTCCCTTCAACTTATGTTATAACATCTATTCATGTCGGTGCTTCTTGCTCTGACTTGGAATTTATTGGAGGTGGTTTTTTTTTTTTTTTTTGTTGGGAGAGGTTCAATAATTAAGAGGATTGTACTATAATTCTGCCAGCGCCGAGATTGATATTAAGAAGTTTAGTTATCTACCCATTAATTACTTGACAGAACAATTGTGGAGTTTAAAATCGGTAAGTTTGCTGAAGATTCTATTTCTGACTCACATGTTGCTTACTCAACAACATGATTTGGATGTGCAGTATGATTTTTCCTTCTATTCTCGCAATTGTAATTTTAAGATGAATTCTTTGGGTACTTAATATGCTGACAAATCTGGCCATCTTGATGAAAGAGAAGAATCTCTTCTAAAACACCTAACCTAAGGGTAATATGTAAGTTAGGGGGATCATGGGTGATCCATATTGAAGCTTGTTTCAACTCAGGAATTCTTTTTCCCTACTCATGTCAAATCCAGTGTTACTATTAACTTCGTTTTTCCCCCCCTCTGTTTAGGTACTTAATTGCCTCTCACACTACTGACTATCAACAGCCGATGCTCTTCTTCAACACCGTAGCAGTGATTGTGCTAGTTGTTGCCAAGTTCCCCCACATGCACAAGGTCCGAATTTTCGGAATTAATGCTGATTCATGAGATGTTGAGTTGTTTTCTTGTTCCGGGAAAATAGTTGTACCACTGTATACACCATAGAAGTCAGGAACTGCAGGACAACTGGTTTTTCCCCACTTGAAGCTGCTTTGGACTTAAAAGGATCAATAGATAAAGTTTATTTTTTGTATAGCGGAGATTTGTCTAATCCTATTGATATGCAATGAAAAAAAATTATTGTTTATGAGCTGATGAAACAGTCATTGGTTACAAGGAAGTGTGGAAGTTGTATTTGTGGAATCTTATTAATATATGCTATTTTTGTAAATGATGTTTTGTCCTCGCAATAGCAGAAAAAATGGCAACAACGTTGAATTCGTCTCCTCTTCTTTTTTTTCCTTTCAAACTTTCTTGTGGTGCATGGGAGTTAACAAATCCTTTCATTTTCCTCTTAGTTTTTTTGCAAGGTTTCTGAGTCTTTTTCCTTTTTGGCAGGAAACCGGATAGGCCATGTGTCTGAATGTTCTTTGTAATGATGATTCTTTTTAATTGTATCTCTGCACTTTGGAGCATGCCTTGTAGTTTGTTTATATTTGTTTTAAAGGTTCAGAACAGAGAATTTCTGTAAACAAAATTGTATTTGATTTGTTTCGATATGAAAAATAAGATAAACAAATGGTACAACATTTAAAAAAAAAAAAAAAGTTCACATCTTACTTTCCTTATTTGTTAGACCACAAGTTAATAGATCTATATCTTTTAAAATGTGTAGAATATTTGAGTTAATAGAAAACTGTGTTAATGCTTTTGTTTTAACTGCCTGAATTAAGCCTTCTCCGTATGTATCTTAATTGCTAGTTCAAGCGGCCAAACAAAAAACATTAGTTCAAGGATAATAGTTCTTAAAGTATTAGTGTTAATTTTATTTTTCTCTGACAATGAGTTGAGTATTAGATGTTATACTTTGGCCTGTCTAAATCCGGACATAAATTAAAGTTTGGTTTGAAGAAAAGTAATTTAGACACAACGGGTTAGTTCCTCATAAGGTAACGAATCAAAATTCGAATCCTTGTTGAAAGAAGTGTTCATATTTAGTATCTGATAGTATCTCAAATAGGATTGCTTCTAATAGAAATATACCTATGCTTTAGCAAAAAAAAAAAAAAAAGTAATTTAGACATATTTCAGCTTTAAATTAGAGTAACATTCCATTTTGATTTTGATCTCCTGAAAATGACTTTAATGCCGATAGGCTTACTCACATATATATGCGTGTGTAATTAAGTTTCTTGTGAAAATAATAAATAATAATAGTAATAATAATCATAAAAAACTTTACATAATTCGTAATACCCTCTAATCCTAAACATAAACTTATTTTGTAATGTAAATTATACTGAAAATAGGTTTTATATTTAAGACTGAGGGAGTATATTCAAATCATTCATGGGGAATAGGAGGGTATGTATGAAAGTGACGGAATTTTTTCTTAAAAAAGAAAAAATTACATCCTACGATCGAAAATTCACAAAAAAATTACAGAAAATCGTAGTAAATTGTTCCAATTATAGTATTTCTTTGAGAAGTCATACCATTTGTTTAAATCTATTATTTATTTTAAGTGATTTTATACAGTGAGTGGGAGATAAGTATATAAGAACAATTTCGTTTCATAAAAGGTAAAAGCACTTGTCTTATTAGATGTCACGAAACCCATGTTTAATTGTGTAAGATATTTTTATTACTAATTTCCTTTTTGATGTGATTTATATGCAAGTAGAGAAAAGGGGGATGTTCAATGAATGGCCTACATGTGAACGATTGACATTTGGGTTTGGGTGGAAGAAATGATATCCCCTTGCCCAAGCGAATGTTTGATGGGTCCCACTAATCGATCAAAAGAAATCAAGGTGGGCCCCTTGAGAATTTTCTTGGGCCTTTCCTCAAACCAAATCATAGGGATGCTTTTCCATTTTTAATTTGAATTTTCATTTTTATTCTTCAATATACATTCTGTGTCAACTGTAAGGTATAATTATTACTCTGTTATAGATGGAGGCAGTTAAAATTTAAAATTAAGTGACATAAATAAAAAGCTAAAATTGAAAAAGGAAATAATTCTTATATAGTACATAAATTTTACTTTCTTTTTAGTATGTGTATTTTTTTTTTATGAAGACAAGTAAATAAGGACGAGAAGGAAAATAATTGTTATATAGTTCAATCAAAGGTTGGTAGATATATGGACATGACATAGAAAGAATAATTATGACTCGTTGAATTGACTCTTATCATATGAGTAAGTAACTACCACGAGTGTTCCCATTCCATTAAATTAATCTTCAAAATTTTCGGTGTATTAGCTTTTGGTTGGGGCTGATGATAATCCAGTTTTCAAGTCTGCATGATACTTTGGTTAACTTTCACAATTCATTAATTTGTCCTTGGGTATATAAATAATTATTACCTAAGTTTTAAAATAATATTCGTTATCAAAACGTTATTTCGCTTATATATATATATATATATATTCAAATAATTAACTTTCTAAAGATGATAATAAATTTCATTTCCAATGATCATTCAAAAATTAAAATGAATAACAAGCTTTGAAGTGTACCGTGATTTTGACTAAGCTACATGTATATATATGTAGTCTATGTATAATTGACGACCTTTAATGTAATATCCGATGTTACTCAAATAATAATAAAAATGAGGCGTGAGAATTTGAAGATGAAATTAAAGCTGACAATAACCCCACTAATAAATGTCTTCAAGTACAGACAGAGATTGAGACGTAGCTGGAAAGTGCACAAAGCACTGAACTTGAATAAATATCTTCTCTTGATAGACTAATAAAAGTCATTTAACTCAGAACTTGGGAAAGCATTATATATCAATAATAAGCTGATCTACAAATATATGAAGCGTATATATGCCTCACACAAATAAAGCAGGCTTCTATTCACTTCTTTCTCCTACTTAACAACAACAACCAAGTCGAGCTAATTAAAAACTTAAAATCCTCATCATCCTATCTCAAATAAGCTAGCAAATTAAGAGGGTATACAAACCACAGCAACTGATAAGAAGAATGCTTTTGTCAGTTCTGATTTTCGTACGGCAGATGACAATCGAACAACACTTAATTACAACTTTTTCAGATGTTTGTCATCAGTTTCTTCAATAAAAACATGATAATTAAGTATGCTTAACAACTCAACAACACGAAATGCGATTGAGGTTTTCATTTAAAAAAAAAAAAATCCCTCCCTGTCCTATATCTTTATTGAAGAATCCGAAAACAAACATCGTCCAAGATATTTTTGCTTAATTTTCTTTTCACGACAATCCATGGAAGACAGAGAAAAAGAAACTGTATAGGTTTCCTCCTTTTCTTACCATGATCCTTCACCAATCATTCCAGTCCAAAACCCAGTTGAATTCCCTTGGTCTTTACTGCTTTGCTCCACTTCATCGCCACCCGGAATCTGCTTGACTCCTCCGAAAGGAAGCAAAAGCCTCCCGCCGTTATGGTCATTCTCTTGTACTCCGTATGATCTATTTCCAAGCCCATCCACAGAAAATCCCAGCTGGCTCGGCTTAGTTTCTTCTTGCATGGGAATTAACCCAGATGGGTAATTAAGGTTACCATACGAGCTATTGGGCATCATGAATGAAGGAACATAAGGAATATTATTACTATTCAAAACCCTAGGAGCTGAAAGAGAAGAAGCAGGAAAAGCCAGATTAAGATCCTGGCCTCCATGGATCTTAGGACTTTGCTGGTTGGAAATGGTACAATTCGTTGGGAAGCCTTGGTTCATCATCTGGCTTCGAGAGAGGTTCAAACTTGGATCTTTCAACCCTGAGAGACTCGGTAATGGTGGATTTAGATCAGGAACCTTTGACGATGATGAGGTTGATGAAGAAGAGGAAGAGGAAGTGATGATCTTGTTCTTGTTCTTTCTAGAACCTCCTCCAACTGGGATGTTTCTGAGGGACCCACCTTCTGTCCAGTACCTTCTACAAGTCTTGCAGAAGTATCTGGGCTGTGTGAGGCTATAGTTGTTGTAATAGCAGAACTTGGTGTTGGTGGAATTGCACCTCGGACAGTTCAATTGTTCTTGTGGCCTTGCCTTCTTCTCTATCATTACTGGCTTTGTCACTGAGTTTTGATTAGGTATTCCTTCCATGGCCTCTCTGTCTCACAGCTCCAACAGACAATATATATATATCCTCCTGAAAAAAACCCAAATGAAGAGAAATGAAAATATGCAGATTAATATACATGCACACACATGCATATACACAAGATCACATTTTCATGCACATGAAAGACGGGAATTCAAATATGACTATATGAAATCATCATGGCTGGGGACCTTTAGATAGTTTCAAGAGGATTCAAACCCACACCTATGAGTAAGACGAGAGTTTTTGTCCAGTTCTTTAGCCATTTTTGTCTGCTCGTTCGTACTGGCGACTCCAATACTGTTAATGCAATTATATACAAATTTTATGAATCATTGGCAGAACACAAAAATGTTCTGAGAGAGTTATTTTTCATGATGAGTATGTTACTTAATTACAGCTGTAGGAGAAAAGTAATGAAGATTCAATCAGACATAGTACTTTGTTAGCTTGCGGAAAACGGAGAAATTAATATTATAAAGGATTAAAACGAACGGAATCAATAGTAATAAACCAAAGGCGCCTTTTTTTCCCTGGTCATTGTATCAAAAATAATCACGGGCTGATGAGCTGAAAGATAAAAGAAAAGGTAGGCAGAAGTAGCAGTGCTTTAATTTGTTCAAGACCTATTGTGATCAAAAGACTCAAAACTTTCTTTGGTAGAAAAAGATGCATCTATAGTCGGGGAGTTAATAGGTCGATCAATTCTTTCTTCTTGAAACGACTGCAAAGAGCAAGAGTACAGGGTTTGTGCCCGTGTGTTCAGGAAGAAGAAAATTAAATGAAACCAAAGATACAAATAAAGCTTCACTCAAACAAATGAAAGATACAAATAAGGCTTAGAACCAGTGGAATATAGTGTCAGCTTTTTGAATTAACAAAACCTAAACCACAGAATAAAATAGTCCAGAATTGATGCATCAAAGTAAAGACAGATAAGGGAAATCCACCCATATGGCCACCGAACGATAGATCCATGAATTCAGAGAGGGAAAAAAGAAAGAAAGAGAAAAAAAAAAGCAAGATGAATACTCCAGATATAGATAGAAACAAAGAGATTTACCTTGTTTTGTCTGAAGTTGCTCCTTTGTAAGAAAGAATGTTTTGGTTCGTTTGTGGGATGGCTTTATGTGCTTGGCTTACTTTATGGATGGTGCGAGGGGAAGAGAAAGTGAGGGGGCGGAGAGAGAGAAAGAGATTGACGTGTGCTTGTTTTGACTCTACTAGCTAGCTATTCCTCTTTGTTAATGATGCTATTTAGGCTTTAGGGCTTACTTTATTTAATGTATGTGGGGTTTATCTTTAATGCTTGCTTTTAAATTTTAAATGCAATTGTAAATTGGTGTCTTTTGCTTTTCTTTTTGGTTTGCTTTTGTTTCATCTTTTTTGTGGTGGAATAATGAGAATGTACACTGTTGTGGGTTCCTTTCTTTTTTGAAGATGCAGACTCTTGCTGTGTTCAAGTGTCAAACTTTCTTTTTCTCAAATCAGGGACCATTCATTCTCGAGCACTATTTTTTTTTTCTCTTGCTGATTTTTTTTTAGATTTATCAAAATAGATTTGATTGGATTGCTTCGCACCTTCTTTTAATTGTAAGAGATCCCTTTTTAATTTAGCTGTTTTCCCCGTGTTTTCAGCAGCAATGATTTTATGTATAAATTAATCATATAGGATTCGCTAATCAAGGATGTCGATAATTATCTTCTTCACTATTCTTTTGACGTTGATCAGCCGGTAAATATTTAAAAATGGTGAGGAACATGTTCAAGAATGATACTTCAAAAATTATGATGTTAGCTAATTAAGCAAGTTCTTCGTCAAAGTTCAGTGAAAAAAGGAAAAGAGACGGTCTTGATATTTGAAGCCTCCACCCTAAAAAGTTGTTCATGTAAAGCGATTTTCAGATGTTATTATATTATCGACCAACTTAGCAGTGTGTGTGTGTTCAAATTTTATTAAATAAAATCTCTTTTTGTTAGATATCATAATGCAACTCGTGAATTTAAGATGTGTGCGTGTACTCTCCTAAAATCAATATCAAATATGAAATATGAAACAAGCCACAACTCACCAGCATTGGAGTCCTGTCTAATTATATTTGTTATCAAAGAGTATAATATTATATGCTCATATTCCAAGCCTTTAGTTTTAAATCTTAAGAGTATAAAGTAAGGAAAAATTTTCTTGGACCAAAAAAAATAAAATAAATAAAGTAAGGAAAAATTTTCACTAAAAAGTAGACGTTTGACATTATCATTAGAGAGAAAGAAAAAGTAGGAGTGAAAGTTTCGTTATATCATATTAGTTGTCAAATATTAGAATTTAAATCTCATAGATTGTGTGTGGGGGTGTCTGTGTTATGTGTATGTTGGGTAGTTTTTTAAGATTAAGGAAATTACAATACTAGTTTAATTTTAAAAATTGCTATTTTTCTAAATTACCCTTTAATTAATATCTCATCCAATTCAAAAAGAGCTAAGTAGTATCCAATACTCTAAGACATTTTTCTAGTCATATTTGGTATTCTAAATTAATTTTTGATGTATTTAGCCGCTGAAAGTTTTTTTTTTTTCAAAGTACTCGATATCCTTAAATAATTTTTGATATATTTAACACCTTAAAATATTTTTTTCGTGACACTCAACATCCTAAGTTTAGGGTACTCATTAGTATTGAGAAAAATATTTTAAGGATGAAATTGCATTAAAATTTACTTTAGAATCTTGTGGGGTTTACTGAAAAATTGAGTTAGGATATTAAATACACTAAAAATTACTTTAAGATATTAAACAAAATTCAGAGTGTTAGATGCAATTTAACCTAAATATAAATCTAATTTAACTAATCTTATAAGGACTAAGGAAAGAAGTTCAAAGTAACTAACTTATTAAACTTGTCAAAAAATTACATTAATTTCCGTTATAGTGCCCATATTAACTTGAAGAATAACCCTCTCACACTTAATTGCAAAAGGATGAAGGGGGAAATATTTTATGCCCCATATATTATTAAATTAGACCTAAATCTTGGTTCAAGAAAAGCGAGGAGAAAAGGACCGATAATTTGGACCAGACGGAGCATAATTCATTACAACAGGGAGAGAGAAATAGAGGAGGGAAAAGCCACTAATTAAAAACTAAGTCATGAAACATTTTATTAAATATTGTAAGATGTCTTATATTAAAGACTGATGGGTATGGTTTTATAAATACCAGGAGGGTGATTATAACAAATCTTGCTCTTGATAAGAAGCAAACACATGAACCTGAGTCTCTCCCTGTTTTTTTTTTTTTGGTGACCTAGGAACCTGAGTCTTATTAAATTATATATTGAATGCAATTAAGACAGGAGCACACATATTGAGAGAGAGCGTAATTATGAAAAAGGGGAAATAAAGAAGAGATAAAAGGAAGGATGCTTTTGTGAGGAATGATTGTATTGATTTGGAACAGTGAAAAAGGCAAAATAAACAAAAAGAGAAAGGCGAAAGAAGGGAACAAGTTTTCTAAAGAAATGTTGGGAGTGGGGCTGAGCACTTCCGACAGGATGCGACAAATATGAAAGCCACTTCGGGTCCCAAATAGTGCGCCCTTTCCGTTCCTCCCGTCACTTTTTTCATCCTAACCACAACAAGTCTTATACTACTAGATAAAATCGGTTATATAAATTCTACGATGTCACTGTGTTTTATCAATAATTAAATTTTTAGATATGTTATTAACCAAAAAACCCTATAAAATAACTCTTAAACTACAATTGGATCATTTTAACAAAGTTTTAGCTTTGGTTTTGGGTCATTTTTAACAAAATTAAGATTTAACTATGTGCTATTATAATTGATTAAAAATTCAATTCAAATAGGAACGCTGTGAGACTTGAATTTATTTTAAATGAAGTCACAATTTCTTTATTTTTTGTGTTGGGTGCAAGTATCCTCTTACTTATTGGACACAATCCTATTTGAAATATTTATCGGACACTAAAACTCAGTGAATTTTTGAATTTTGATTCACCAAACCCCATTGGTTGAAGTCACAATTTCTTTAGAACATGGAGCGGGAAAAGGAGGTTGTGAGAAAGTTTTGCGCGGTCTATAAAAGAAAGAGAGTTTTTTAAAAAAGCCCAATAAGAATTCAGGTTATGGACCCAGAACAGGCCCAATAGAGTCCAAACAAACATTGGAAGCGCGGCCACCCTCTTCATGTTGCTGAATTAATCACCGCAATCTTACTTCCGACTGCGAATGTTGTTGTCATTTCATTTATGCTTTGTCAAATGAGTTATATGTGCTTCCAAATCCACACACTCCAACCCATATTTTAGTAACTCTTTTACCCCTCCTCGAAAAATGAGATAAAAATATATTAAATATTAAATATTAAAAAAATAATTGTGGAAACATAAAAAAAAAACTAACTAAAAAAATTTGAGACATTTTACAAGTATTTCTTATAAATGAAAACAAGATGGATATGGTGTTGTTTCTTACCAAAAAGAAACGTAAGAGTAATAAATAAGCATGTAATGTTCGAAAGATGTTCCGTAATAGATATTGATGTTACTTCAAATTAAATCTTATATTTATGAGAGATGCTCTCTCTAATTCTTATGTAAGAGCCTTTCTACAAGAATTTGTTAGTCCTTTTTATAAGACCATTTGATAATTTCAACGAGTATTAAATACTTTTTACTATATATGTCTGTATTCAGTGAAGGTGGTGAGATAATAAAAATTAATACGATAATAAAATTTAGTTTAATTAATGAGAGTAATACTGAAAATCACTTGAATGTTATAATAAATTCAATGCTTTTAACTAATTTTATTGATATAACTTATGAGTGAGTTTTTTTTTAACAAGAGTTACAGTATTACATGATACCCCTTTTATCCTTACTATAAACTCTAAATAACTAATTTATGGATAACAAATCATTATTTAAAGCTAGTTATATTTAAAAGTAATAAATAGAATAGAAATATATTTTTATTTTTAAATATATCTTTATAATAAATATGAAATTAAAGACAAAATTAAAAAATATATTAAATTTTAAAAATTTTAAATTAAAATTTATAAAATCAACCGCATTCTTTTTTAAATTTAAAATTTATAAATAAGATTGAAGTGAGTAAAACTGAAAAACATGTTAACCTTGAACTCGGAGGCCAATGAAAAGACAACATATCTCAATACAAACACAACTATCAAAGTCGGAAAATTTACAGTTCCAACGTTAACTCTGGTTTAGTCCTACTGCGATCGCACATGCTCACTTCTTTCTTTAATGAGCCATTGTGTTGTGCTTGTGCCTCTCTCTCTCTCTCTCTCTCTCTCTCTCTCTCTCACACACCCCCAAAAGCACATTTATTATGTTTACGCCAGTTGTCCCTCTCCATCGTTTAATTTCCCAGAAAAGAAGAAGAAGGAACAGATGAGAGTAGTGCTTGTTTCCCAGACACCACTTGTTTTCTGAGTCGTTAATTACGTTGAAAGAAATTTTCAGTAATGTGGAACTCAACATGCATGTTCCATTTAGAAACATGTTTGATGTATGAAAATTATCATATAAGACGATCAAAATATATACACCCTGTTATAAAAAAGAAATCCGAATCTTAAATTAAAAGGGCTACCATAATCCCTTAAAATTAAAATCTTAATTTGCTAACTAACAAATGGATTCCCACGTGATCCGAGACATCTGGTTATACATACTTATATATATATATAGAGAGAGAGAGAATTTAAATTTTATAATTCATATCCTAAAAAATGACACATTATATATATAGGGTTAATTAATCTGGAAGTCCTTATAGTTTTAACCAATTTTGAATTAGGTCTTTATAGTTTTTTTTCTTTTTATCAGGTCCTTATACTTTCATCTATTTTTAATTAGGTCCTCGCATTTATTTTTCTTTTTATTAAGTCCTTATAATTTCACTAAAATTTTAATTAGGTCCATCTAGTTT